CCTTGGCAAATCCATCACATAGACAACCTGACTTGGCAAGGTTTTTGTATTGTTTTAGTCCATAAAAGTCTAGTATCCTAGCTCTAAAAATAAAACTAAGCACTTTAAAGTGAGTGAGACCTTGCACAGAACATTCAAACCCAATAAATAAGAGAAGAGCAAAACAAAGCTTAATCCCCACCTCCTGCCACCCTGAGACGCAGGGGTTTGGAAGTGTAAGGATCCATGAGAGAGTCTGGTGGGGGACTCCAGGCAGGATACAGTGCAAGAGGAGGAACATTCTTTGGTCGCCTCTGAGAGGCCAGGGAAGGTGCAGCAATTCTCCAGGCGGAGGGCAGCAGGTGCCACGCCCAGGAGCGCTGACCTGTTACTCCACAGAGGAGGCGCCCGATGCACTGTCCTGACTGTGTGGTTATGGCTCCTAAGAAAACACCCAGTGCCCCTTGCCTGGGCTACCAAGGCATAAATGCATAATCAATCTTCCTGATTTATGTTCCTAGGAAACAATCACATTCTTGTAACCCAAACAGAGCATTTATATCCAAATTGAGACTCTTTCATCACAACAAATTTACCTCTTCTTGTTTTATATCTTAGCACCTATAAGCTTCAGCTCACCTAGGGAATTGTCTAAAGAAATTTTTTTAAAAAGCCTTGACTAGTGTAGCTCAGTGGATTGAGTGCTGGCCTGTGAACCAAAGGATCACTGGTTCGATTCCCAGTCAGGGCACATTCCTGGGTTGTGGGCCAGGTGCCCAGTTGGGGGCATATGAGGGACAACCACACATGTTTCTGTCCCTCTCTGTCTCCTTCCTTCCCCCTCTCTCTAAAAAATAAATAAATAAAATCTTAAAATTTTTTTAAATAAAAAATAACTTCAATAGAAGGTAGCATTTGATCAACTCCCCAAGCTGTCAGAGAACTACTTCTGATGCCCATTGGCAGTTCTGGCATGTGTATGAGCCCTGAGTGATTTAGGGGCTGTCGGTACTTAATTCTGAGAATTACTGTTGCACTGTACAGGAGGTATCCCTATTATGAAAATTCGGTGACACCTAATCATTCACAGCGACCACAGCAGAAACTGTAATAATAGTCTGGGTGGTAATCATTCACCTTCCAGAATGTTTGCATGGTGGTGGCATTATTAACCTGATAAATTTATTAAATTAGTATTATTAATCTAGTTCATTTATGGTCAGAAATATGTAAAACACTAAAAATACTTGCACAGTGCCTCAATTTAACAAAGCAATTTTTGCATCTATTATTGTATTTAATCTCTAAAGCAACCCCTTAAGGGTGGTATTATTGATCTTATTTTACACATGAAGAAAATAAGTCTTAGAGAGGATAAGTAAATCTTCCAATCCCCCGCAGGTAATAAGTGAGCTCGGTGCCCTTCTCTTCTACCCAGAGAAGTTGTTACAGCCCCTCTTCACACTCACCACACATCTGCTCTCCAGGAAAGGGCGACCTGACGTGGACCAGAGCTGAGCCAGGCAGCTGCCACGTGGCTGGTAACTCATTCAGTTCTCCAAGAGGCCAGTGTGTATCATTCTTAATATCAGGGATACATGACCTCTTAAGAGCTCCAAAGTCTTCAAAGATCTATATATGGCAGAAGTATATACCCTATTACGCCATAGTATACCATAACATAAAAAGTGTAAACAAAATGCTAAAAAGACACCAATGAAAGAGACTCCTGGGTTTAAGAGAAATGTTAATGCACCTCTGCATTTCAGAGTGCAAAAGCCTATTATATCACATAAACAGCCTACAGAAATACAAAATAAGTAATATGCCAATTATTTTTTCAGAGAAATTTAAGCTTAAGAAGATACCTTTTTAAAATCTTACTAATCCTGGAAAACAGGGTCTCCAAAGAAACAGAACGTAAGAATGTCCCAACAGGGTTTATTCTGCCCACACAAGTGCCCGACATTTTATCCAATCAGTAACTTCCTTAAAGCATATTTTCAAACTTTACCTTTTGCATTGCATCATAGTTTAAATGTACTTATAAATTCCTAATTAAAAATAAGAAATTCTGCTCTGGCTAGGTGGCTCAGTCAGTTGGAGCGTCACCCCATACGTACACCAGAAAGTTTTAGGTTCATTCCAGGCAGGGCAAATAGATGAGTTGCAGGTTCATCCCCAGACAGGGCAATGCGTGGTGGGTAACCGATCGATGTCTCTCTCTCTCCCTCTCTCTCTCAGTCTTCCTCCTTCTTTTCCTTCCTCTCTCTCTAAAATCAGTGAACATATCATCAGATGAGGATTGTAAAAATTTAAAGAGTAAGAAATACTTTTGTGAAGGAAATTTCTTTATAAAATAAGTATCACTAAGTCACTGTTTCGTCAGTATTCCTTTTTACAGCATGACTTTAACATGGAGAGTTCCTATTTATGACGATGAGAGAGGTGGCGGTAGATATGGACTGACTGAGTGAATGAGGCTGGCGGGGTGAGTGGATGGGGCCCAACAGAGGACCAATCTTCGCTTTTCCAAAGGAAATAATTGTAGTCACTCTGGAACCTGACGTAGACTATGAGACAGCCTTTGAAGGACTTCATCCAAACAGAGATTCAGTAGTAGAACCTAAAGGAGGACTCAGCAGGAGAAAATAGTAACAACAACAAAGACGTGTGTGTGTGCGTGTGTGTGTGTCTGTATGAGAAATGGATGGCTATTTTTCTCCTCTTTGAGGGTAGAAACTTTGGTCCAACCCTATCTTCCCAGTGCCTACAAGAAAGGTTGGCAGAGAATTGGAGTTTAGTAAAAATCTGCTGAGTGAATGAAACCATCTGGGGATCCAGCTCTTCCCCTAAGGCTCCTCACCACCAGGGGCAGCGCAGTGAGGACATCAAGGTTTCAGCAAGGCGGTGGGAGTTGGGGGCTGGCGAAATGGGTGAAGGTGACCAAAAGACACAAACTGCCAGTTATAAGATAAGCAAGCCCTGAAAATGTAATCTGCAGCACGGTGACTATAGGAAATAATATCGTATTGTATACTGAAGATTGCTAATACAGTAGATCTTAAAAGTTCTCATTACATGAAAAAAATTGTAACTCTGCGTGACTAAACTTATTGTGGTAATAATTTCACAATATACACACATATCAAATCATTATGTTATATATTATATAAAACTATATATTACTGTATATAGTGCACAATATTGTGTATAATTTATAATAATATATAAATATAAACAATTTATGTATTATTGTATAAAACTAATATAATGTTATATGTCAATTATATCTTAATAAAACTGGATAAATATCTCCAAAACCAAATAACTTGCCTGATGAAAAATAAGAATCAAAGGAGCTCATATGTGGATTTTAGGTAACATTTTACCAATTTCGGCCCTAATCATATAGCATTAGAGAATATTTTAGCTTTTTTTTCATTAACGCCTTTGTGGGATGTTTTGCAATAGAGGATAGAAAAGCCTGTTTGCCTCCTCTACTTTGTGTGGGGCATATCGTGATTTCACTTAAATTTTCTATGTTTCTATGAATCAAAAAAATATGCTCTGAATCCAGACTGCCTAGGTTGAATCTCATCTCTGGCACTTCCCAGCTCCTTCACCTTGGACAGATTTTTGTGCCTCAGTTTCCTCATCTGTAAGATGGTGATAATGGCATCTCATAGTTGGTTTGTTTGTTCTAAGAATTTAATACATTAACACTTGCTTATACCAGTAACCCTAATGTAAGTTTGCAGTCTTGTTGTTATCTAAAGAAATAAGAAATATATTTTTATGGAAAAATCCCTGTATAAATTGAATTAATATTCATCATTCCAAATACGAATTAACTTACTACAAGTATGTGGTTTATACTGACCCAACATGCATCTACACTAGAATCAGAAATGCCATTTGAGAATGGCTATTATCGAACAGTCAACAAGTAGCCAAATGTTGGTGAGGGTGTGGAATAAAGGTGCACTGTTGGTGCACTGTAGGTGAGAATGTAAATTGGTGCAGCTAGTATGGAAAGCAGTATGAAGATTCCACAAAAAACTAAAAAGAGATCTACCGTATATCTCAGCAATTCCACATCTGGGTATTTATCACAAAAAAACCCCGCTAATTCAAAGTGAACCCCTATGTTCATTGCAGCATTACTTACAATAGCCAAGACATGGATGCAACCTAAATGTTCACCAATAGATGAGTGGATAAAGAAGACATGGTACATATATACAATAAAATATTATGAAATATTATGGAAAAGAATGAAATTTTGCCATCTGCGACACCCTGGATGGACCTAGAGGGTATTATGCTATGTGAAATAAGTCAGGCAGAGATAAACAAATACCAAATGGTTTCACTTATATGTGGAATCAACAAAACAAATGAACAAACAAAGCAAAACAAAAACAGACTCCTAGAAACAGAAACCAAAATGATGATTACCAGGGGTGAGGGTGGGGGAAGGGGTGAAAAAGATAAAGGGTAATATAGTCAATAATCGTGTGATAAGTTTGCATGGTGACCAATGATTACTAGAATTTGTGGGGTGATCACATTGTAAGGTATAAAAATGCCAAATCACTATATCGTACACCTAAAATTAATATAAAATTATATATCAATATATTAAATTTTTTTTTAAAAAGACTGTCAGACGGCAGTGATTTTTAATGGCTGATTTTGCATCCCTTCACCTCTGGGGGAATTTAACAACATCCGGAGACATTTGTAATTGTCATGACTTTGGAGGGAGGTGCTATTGTCAGTGCTATTGGGTCCAGTCCAAAGATGCTGCTAAATATTCCACAACGACAGGGTAGCCCCCACGATAAAGGGTTATCCTGCCTAACATGCCAACAGTGCCGAGTCCGAGAAAGGCTCCTATACAACTGAGTCTGCTTTGCAAGAGGGGCGTTGATGCCAGAGGGATGGAGTGGGTCTTCTTGGTATAATAACTCCTCGTCGTTTTTTCTATCCCACACTTTTCCCCTTCTTGTCTGCAGGAGCCAACGCCTCTGCCCCAGACCAGCTGAGCTTGGCCTTAGCATGGAACAGAGTCGACATCGCTCGCAGCCAGATCTTTATTTACGGGCAACAGTGGCCGGTAGAGTATAGTCACCCCTGAAAAGCCCACTTGCTTGGGCAAGGGTGTTTGTATGAAATGTTAAAGGGTTTTCTTTCATAAGAAGAAGAGCAGTAAAGTGCCAATAAATACATATCTGTCGATGATTGAATCTAAAAAACAAAACAAACAAGTGGAACAGAAACAGAATCGGATACAGAAAACATTTTGATGGTTGCCAGATGGGAGGTGGGTCAGGGCAATGGGGGAAGGGATTAAGAAGTACAAATAGGTAGTTACAGACCGCCATGGGGTGAAAAAGTACAGTACCCCAAAGAACTTACATGCAGGGTCAATGGACATGAACAACGGTGTGGGGATTGCTGGAGGGAGTGGAGGGGGGCAGCTGGGTAAAGGGGGCAGAGGGGAGAAATTGGGACAACTGTAACTGCATAAACAATAAAATATGATTTTTTAAAAAGCATTTAAAAAAAGAAGCCTCTCAGAGCATGTTGGAAATACTGCCTTTGCTTTGGTGTGGAAATGACTTAGGAAATCACTGCCACCTGGTGGAACGCACGACCAAGCACAACTTGAAACGTTCCGAACATTTTCCTCTCTCTGAGCAGCCTTTGATGGCGATTTCAGCAACAAATGATGCCATTTCTCTTAAATGTCTTTTAAAAATATGTGTAATACAAAGTTGTGTTAACTAAAATGAAGGAAGAATTAGAATAAGCCATTTGTTTCCGGTTGTCTATGAGGTCGCTGCTCCCAAGCGGTGGCGCCCGTGCTGGGATGCTACTGGGTCGCATGTCAGATGCAGCAGCAGCGGCTTCCCGTGCGGGCGCCATCTGGTCCGGGTGCTGAGCACAAGTCTTCCCTGTCCCCAACACCTGCGCAGAGGGAACTGAAGCTTTATATAACTGTTCTTGGCTTGTTTCCCTCAATTAACTACCAAAAATAAAAACAGAAAGTTGGCCATTGGATGACGTAGGCAGATATCTCCAGGAGGTGACCAGCAGCCTGAAACTGGATTTCCATGCCTGGAAGCCCTGTCTGGGTCGCTTTCGGCCCTTCCTTTCCCCAGGGAGCTTCTGCTCATTTAGTGTCACTAGTGCCTTGCTAGTGTAGAAAGATTTTTCAAGAAGTCCGGACCCTGGGAAATTTTCTATAAAAGGAATTAAATAAAACCCTAGTAAACGGGCCAAAGGACCTAAATAGTTGCAGTGTCTTCAGATGGGAATGGGGGAGAGAAAGGCATGGTGGTACCACTTAACCAAAAAAAAAAAAAAGGAAGAACAGCCTCCTTTTTGTTGTTTACTAGGGTCCCTCTTCTCAAGCCAGCCAGGGTCTAATTCAGAGCCTGAGGAAGATGAAAACAAAGACAGCAAAGTACCCACTTTAGCACTTCGCTGGTGTTGCAGAAGTTTGGTCAGTGAGCTGGGAAAGAAAAAGCCTTCTGAATCTTAGTACCTTCTCAGAGAGAGAGAGAGAGGGAGAGAGAGAGAGAGATTGAGATGCAAGGAGGGAACAACTTTAGTGAATAGAAATCCTTGAATTCTGTCTGCAAAAATAGGCCCCCAAACCCAGGAGAGATTGTAGCTGCCCCAAAAGTAGAGTCAGAACTGTCTTGCTAGCATGTTCTTGGATGTGCTGAAGGTTTATCAGATGTCAAAGGCGTCCATTTTTAAACTGTTCAGATGAACGCCAAAGCGCTGCATCTCCAGAGCCTGGGGCAGACTAACTCAATGACTTGATTTGCAGGTGGGGTCCCTGGAACAAGCCATGTTGGATGCCCTAGTTCTGGATAGAGTGGATTTTGTGAAATTACTCATAGAGAATGGAGTAAGCATGCACCGTTTTCTCACCATCTCCAGACTAGAAGAATTGTACAATACGGTAGGACCAAGCTAAGGCACTTTTTATTTCCTCTATATTTTTTTGTTTTATCTTCTCCTCTTCCCCTACATGCCTGTGAATATCTCCTTCCTGCCCTCCAATGCATGGCTCATTGTTCACACATGTTCCCTTCCACCTGTGTAAACAAGAAAGAGCACGTCACCAAGTTGCCACTTGTTTTAACTGCTCAGTTGTCAGCATCTAAGGCAGAAAGTTACGTGATCACCAAAGGTAACATTCTCAGATTCTTCTACCAAACCACTGGCATGTAGAAATTAGAACACAGTTTATTTGTAAGCCCAGAGGGTATCTGGGGCCATCAGCAGAGGAGGGTTGATTTAACGCCAAGCATCAAAGGAGGCAAACTAACTATCCTGAGCCATCTTGTTATCCTCGGAACTATGAAGTTTATTCCTTTTCCACTATAATGGAATAAAATATAAAAACCTCTTGTTTTGGATTACCCCAAAGTATTTTTTGTTGTTGTTTTGTAGTGATTTTTTAATTCCTTCACTAAGGATACCAAGGAGTAATCATGAGAAAAAGTATTTATGAAGTTTTGGCAAGTATTCAATGAATTTAGTACATTAGCTCTGAGCTGATACTCACTACAATCCAGAGAAATTTAAAATGTAGATATTGCATTCCCCTATTTTACAGATGAGAAAACTAAGGCCAAAGGGTGAGCTCAAGATCACAAATCTCCTAGCTACTACTGAACCAAAGCTTCTGTCTTAGGGATTATTGTTGCCTTCATTCCTCAGAATGCTTCTCTATCCCACCAAATACAGTACTAATTAGATGAAGTTCATTAACCTATTCCCAGACAGTTTTAGGTGTTAGATGGTTCCACCCTGGCTTTATCTTATTCCCACTGAATTGAAATCGAAAACAGTTTATCAGAGTGGTTCTAGGTTTCTGTTTTCTCTGCAGATTTTTGGGGGGCAGTTCAGCATGCTGAGACTTTTGGTAGAATAATAGATCAAAATTATGGAATAGGGGCTCAACCTCCCATCCCTAAAAAAAGACTAACAATGAGCCATAGAAGAAATACATACATTCCTAGAAATGTACCATCCATACATTTCAAGTGTGAATCATAAAGAAATAAATAATTTGAACAGATTAATAACAAGTAAGGAGATTGAATTAGTAAATCAAAAACCTTCCAGCAAAGAAAAATCCAGGACCAGGTAAATTTTACAAAACATTTAAAGGATTAACCCCATTTTTTCCAACTCTTCAAAAAAATTTGAAGAGGAGAGAATACTCTCAAAATTATTTTATGAGGCCAGCATTACCCTGATACTAAAGCTAGATAAGGACACTACAAGGAAAGAAAACTACAGTCCAAGATCTCAGATAGCAATGCAAAAATACTTCACATAATTCTAGCAAACCAAATTCAATAGCATATTAAGAAGGTAATACACCATGATCAAGTAAGAATCACTTCTAGATACAAGGATATTTCAACATAAGCAAATCAGTAAGTGTTATATCACATTAACAGAGTGAAAGATAAAAATCACATGATCATATCAATAGATTAAGAAAAAGTATTTGACAAAATGTAGAATCTCTTCATGGTGAAAACTCTGCAAAAATTGTGTTTGGAAAGAACATAACTCAACACGGTACAAGGCTACACATGACAAACCGCAGCTCACATCATGTTCCATGGTGAAAGGCTGAAAGCTTTCCCTCTGAGCTCAGAGCCAAGTGCCCACTCTCACCACTCCTACTCAACATAGCAACTGGAAGTCCTAGCTAGAGCAATTCAGCAAGAAGATATAAAAGCATGAAGATTGGAAAGGGAAGAAGTAAAACTGTCTGTTTTCTGATAACATAATCTTATATAGAGAAAATTGTAGAAGGCATGAGCAGGCAGCAGTGTCTCTGGGACACACACGTAAAGGTCAGTTGCTGGGGACTGCTGGGCACAGTGGCTCTTCCTGCTACAGTGCCTGCGAGCAAGGAGCAAGTCCCCGAGAACATAAAAACTCAGTGGAGCACCCCCCTCTTCTCACAACCTCCGTGCACTGACTGCGCATCCTCCCACTGGATGGCTTTCCCACTCCATGCCTTACCTGCTCCGAGGCCTCCAGACACTTCCGTTGGGCCTGGGCCTGCCTGCACCCCGCTGCTCCCCAATGAAGCTACAGAGTTGAGATTATCCCTCTCTTCAGAGAGGAACTAGATTATGATATATGATTACCACGGAAGAAATTCATGTCTATAGCTTTTAAGGAGTTGATTGCATCATTTCCAAGCCTGAAGGTTTTGGAATCACTATTGGATCTTAAGACACCTCCACCTTCTCGTCATCCGTCTTCATACCTCAATAAAGGGCTGAGGTTTAACACTCCTTTGTCTTGGATTATTTAAGACACCCCAGAAGGACGTTTCTTACCAGTATAGTGTAGCCAGATTTATAAGGAGAAGTGATTCCCCATGAATATTTAAGGTTTGAAGATGAAAATTTTATTGAGTCTTCTATTGCCAAATGAAACACCCTGAGGAAAAGTGGCCAGTTCTGTGATATTGGACTTCAGGTGTGTGGCCTTGAGATGGTAGCCCACAGAGCAGTCCTGGCGTGCTGCAGTCCTTATTTATCTGAAATCTTCGATAATGAGAGTGATCTCATAGGGTTTCTTGTGTTAAATTTGATGATCTCAACCCAGAAGCTGTTGAAGTCTTGTTGAATTATGCCTATACTGCACAGTTGAAAGCTGATAAGGAATTAGCAAAAGATGTTTATTATGCACCAAAAAGCTGAAGGTGGACCAAGTAAAAAAGGTTTGTGTCAATTATTTACTATCTAAAATGGATGTTACCAGCTCCATCTCTTACTTTGCTAGTTATATGGGAGACTCACATTTGTTGAATAAGCTTGACATGTATATTCAGGAGCATTTGTTACAAATTTCAGAAGAGGAAGAGTTTCTTAAGCGTCCACAGCTAAAGTTGGAGGCAACGCTTAAATATAATGTTTGTTTGCCCAGCAATGGCAAATTGGACACAAAGGTAATCAGCTGGGTGCAGCATAGCATCTGCGAGAATGGAGACACTATGGATGAGCTGATGGAAGGGTTCAAACCTTGTACTACTCAGTTGATCACAAGCTGCTTGTGGGAACCTACTAGATGGACAGGCCGAGGTGTTCAGCAATGACAATGACCACATTCAGTTTGTACACAAAAAGCCACCACGTGAGAATGGCCATCAGCACATAAGTAGCAGTCCCACTGCATGTGTCTCTTCTCCAAATGCCATAGTACAAAGCCCTAAGTATGAGTGGAAAATCACTGCTTCAGAAAAGACTTCAAACAACACTTACTTGTGCCTGGCTGTGATGGATAGTATATTCTGTGTCATCTTCTTCACAGGTGAAACAGCCCACAGAGCTCACCAACAAGTATTCCAAAACTAACTAAAAGTTCCAGCTCTGAAATGCAACCAGATGAGCTAACAGAAAAGCCATGTCACCTATGCATTATGCACGGTCTGGTCTGGGGACAGCAGAGATGGAGGGCAAACTCATAGCTGCAGGTGGCTGTGACAGAGAGGAATATCTTCAAACGGCTGAGTGCTATGGTCCAAATACAGACCATTGGTCCTCCCTTGCTCCCATGAGAACGCTGAAAGCCTGATTTCAGATGCTGTACTGATGGACCAACTTGACGTGGTTGCTCGAGCGAATGGCCACTCAGATGACCTGAGTTGCGTAGAGCTGTATGACCAACACATAGAGGACTGGATTCCTGTTCTGAATTGAGAACTAACCACTGTAATGCAGGGGTGTGTGCTCTAAATAGGAAATTATACATCCTTAGCAGCTCTGGTCCATATGGTCAAAAAGGACAGAAAAATTGTGATGTTTCTGATCCTATAACAAAGTCATGGACAAGCTGTGCCCCTCTGACTATTCATAGACACCAGTCTGCAGTCTGTGAGCTTGGCAGTTATTTTTACATAATTGGAGGTACAGAGTCTTGGAATTGCCTGAGCACCATAGAATGTTACGTTCCTGTAAATAACACCTGGACTTTAACTGCACCATGAATGTGGCTAGGAGAGGAGCTGGAGTTCTGGGCAGAAAACTATTTGTGGTTGGTGGCTTTGATAGTTCCACATCATCAGCTGTGTGGAAATGTATGATCCAACTAGAAATGAGCAGAAGGTGATGGGAAATATGCCTTCACCAAGGACTATGCCCGATTGCAGCTGTAGGGAACACCATTTATGCAGTGGGAAGATTAGATGGCAATGAATTTCTGAATACCGAAGAAGTCTATAACCTTGAGTCACATGAGTGGAGCCCCTATACAAAGATCTTCCAGTTTTAACAAATTAAAAATCTTTTTCAAAATAACAGGCTTAGTGACACATTGTGTTTAGTAGAGGTACATTTCTGAATGAGGAGGGTGAGTGGGTTTGGAGGTTGTGACAGCAACACAAAGCTTTGCATGTTGCATATTATTACACACACTGTACATACTTTGTGTTATTGGGACAGAAGTTGAAATCATAAAAGAAAAAAAACAAGAACTGAGTGGGCACACCATTTCAAGAAGTCCCCTGTCCTCCACATTTGTTTTGGCAATGTACACATTAAATAATTCTTTCCTCCAATGAGTATTAGGGCAAGAGGGGTCCGGGTATTAAGGTACAGGCAGTTGAGGTTTTTAAGAGCCCTTTCTCAATAACTGGAAACATTTTATAACAAAAGAGACATTGAACTAGATAGCAATGACTATTTTTGTTTTTATTAAAAGAAAGCTGACATACCTACCAAGATTTAGTCCTTTATGGTGGCCTTTTATAACTTTTTATATTCTCAGCAGAGTGCGTCACCTGTTGAAGATGTGGTGGCTTCGTGTTGCCAAAGCTGAGTGGCCGTCTGCACGTGTGCAGAGCGAGGTGTTTCTTTTACACAGCTGGAATCCCAATCTCTGAGCTTTTACCCCAGCTATAATATTTTATTTAGAATGAAGGGCCAATGTTTATTTGAATGGAACTGCTGAACAGTAACTAGCTTCGCTTTTATTTGAAACACTGATTTTAAATATGACTTTTTTAGGGTATATTATATAGAGAAGACCCTTGTGCAACAGTAAAGAATTTAGGATTTTCTCTTCTAAATAATTCCTGTTTATAATCATTAACAAAATTGTCCCCAGTGGCAGCCCTTGATTGTGAAAACAATGAATTTAAACTACGTTGGATTTATGGATGCCGCCTTTATCAGAACCATGTTCTCGTTCAGTCTTTGTATTCATGTGACTAAATATCGGTTGGAGTGACTCAGCAGCACATGTGTGGTGCTGCACATAAAACTCACGGTGCCGGAGTTAGCACGTCCGAACGCCTGCTGCCAATGCAAACAAATTAAAGGTGCTTTGCAGGAAGTCCTTGAACCATGGCATCAATATCCAAATGTTGTTTGTGTGCTCATTCATTACTGAATGTTTGGGGGAAACTTGTTTCCAGCAGTGATGAGTGGAAAACATATTCATCTGGCATCTTACTTCTGAAAGGAAGACTGGTATAAGGTTTTAAGGTTTCTTCTCTCAGAGAAGATAAAGAAGCACACATGAATCTAATGAGCTAACTGAGGCAGATGACTAGCCAGTGGCTAACTGACTTGGTTAAGAAGAAAATGAGATATTTTCTCCAAATGTTTCATGGGTACTTTGACACTTTATTTGCATCATTCATTCCACAAAACAGCACCAGGAAAAAAAATCAGTTCAGTTAGTGGCTAGTTAGTTCCTCACTATATCTATTGCTGGTTGTCCTGGACTAAAACTAGGTTGGCAAATTTGAGCCTAATATGATCACTTTTTTAATGGCTCTGTTTGTGTTCTATTTAGCACAGGAAATTAACTTTGAGCTGGGAATTCAGCAGTGAAAATCTTTGAAATTACTTCTTAGTTCCTAAGAACACATAAAGGCAAACATGTGAGATTACTTTGGATCAGAATTTTCCTGTATTAACCTTTGATGCCAAACATGTGTTTTGGTAGCTAAAACATATTTTTAATTGTGTTTTGAATATAAGAAATTTCCTTTACATAAGGGAGAAAAAACAGTCCTCCATGATGAATTTTACTGTTTATCCACATCTAAAAGGGACAATTTTTTTTTTCAGGTAAAGAGACAATGTGGCATAGCCTCAGCATAATTAAATTTTATTTTACCAGTAAAAAAAAAAATTCTATAGACTCCATAAAAGACTATTAGAACTAGTAAATGAATTCAGTAAAGTTTCAGGATACAAAATCAACACACCAAAATTTGTTGTATTTCTACACACTAACAATGAACTATTTGAAAAAATAAAGCAATCCCATTTGCAATAGCATCAAAAATAATAAATTACTTGAGAATTTAAGTCAATAAATTTAACCAAAGAAGTGAAAGGCCATAGACCAAAAACTGTAAGACATTAATGAAAGAAATTGAAGAAGTTACAAATAAAAAGATAACATGTGTTCTTGGATTAGAAGTGTTAGTTAATATTATTAAAACATCCATACTGTTCAAAACCATCTATAGATTAGTATAATTCCTTTAAAATCCCAATGGCATTTCTTTACAGAAATAGAAAAAGCAATCTTAAAATTTTCATGGAGTCACAAAAGACCCTGAATAGCAAAGGAATCTTGAGAAAGACAAATAAAGGTGGAGGCTTCACACTTCCTTATTTCAAACTATATTACAAAACTATAGTAATCAGAACAGTGGGAATTGATATAAAAACTGACAGAACAATGGGACAGCATCAGGAGCCCAGCAATAAACTCATGTGTATATGGTCCACTAACACATGACAAGGGAACCAATATAAAAAACATTGTGGAGGTTCCTTAAAAAAACTGAGGTATTGGCCAATGAGTACAAACTTTTAATTATAGAATGAGTAAGTTCCAGGGATCCAATATACAGCATGGTGACCATAGTTAACAACGCTGCATTGTGCACTTGAAATTTGCCTCAAGAGTGGAGCTTTAATGATCCCACCTTAACAACAAAATGGTAACTATTTGGGGTGAAAGGTGTAGTAACCAAACTTACTGTGGTAAACACTTCACTGTCAATACATACAAGTATCAGATCACTTTATACATTAAATGTACACAATATTATATCAATTATATCTCAATAAATCTGCTGGGGGGTAGAATGATGGGTTTTTAATTAAGTGAAAAATAAAGCATAGAGGTGAATGACTTGCCTATCAATTAGAGAATCAAGGGAGTAGAGTGATTTATTCTAATGATTGTCAAGAAATAAGAAAGTTCTAGATGGCCAATAGATTTTATCACTCCAATCAACTGGTGGTGTTTCCCTGGAGAATTCTGTTGATAAGGATTATGAGTCAGTGAATGGCCTCAATAATAATCATAGCTAATATTTGTTGAGTGCTAAGCATTTTAGTAGCTTCATAAATATTTTATCATTTAATCTTCACACATTTCTTCCAGATAAGTGGAGATGTTATCCTCATTTTAGAGATGGCAATACTGAGTCACAGTTAAGTAGCTTGCCCATGGTCACTGCGGGTAAGCAGCAGAGCCAAGTTTGGAGCCAGGCATCCTGACTCTAGAGTCTGCATGTTTAATCCCTACACAGTACTGCATCCCTCAGTGGAAAGAGTTCTGATGAGTATGTCTGCATAAAGCAGCAGGTTGCTGAGGCAGTAGAGGGGCACTCTCTCAATCCTTGACCATGCTTCACCCGTGCTCAAGGCTTTGCCATCACTGTTTTGAGATCCTCTAATGGGGTGGCCAAGTTTAGCAAATAAATAGTTAAATTTACATTTAAGATAAACAACAAATAATTTTTAATATAAATGTTTCCCAACTATTGCATGAGACACATTTGCATTAGAAATTATTCACCATCTATCTGGAATTCAAATTTAATTAGGCATTCTACATTTTAGGTAGCATTCCTATTCCTGCAGAATGATTGGATGGCAAACCATTTCATTTTATTCCTACCTTAAGCAAGCATACATCTTTCCCAAGCCTCTCTTTTTCCCAAACTTCCTGTGGCCTTTTCTTTAGACCAGATTTTAGCAATCTACCATCCAAGGGCCAAACCAAGCTCACCACCTATTTTTGTATGGCCCACAAGAACGGTTTTTTACATTTTTTAGCAGTTGAAAAAAATCAGAAGAATGATATTTTGTGACATTCAAATTTTATGAAATTTTACTCTTTTTTGTGTCCACAAATAAAGTTTTACTAAATCATTGGCAACCTCCTTTGTGTAGGTATTGTCTCTGGCTGCTTCTGCACAACAGCTGAGTTGAACAGTTGCCATGAAGACTACATGGCCCCCAAAGTCTAAAATATTGACTACTTGACTATTTACAAAAAAAAAAGTTTGCCAACCCCTACTTTAAATAATTTCTCATTCGACATTGGTAATAAACAAGATGCAATTGGCAATGTGCTGAAGTGCATTTCCAATGCAATAAACTGGTCCCTTTTCCCCATACTCCCTGTTGCAAAACTAGCCCCTTAAATGATGTCTTGGTTTAGCTGTCAACAGCATTGATGGCTTCCTCTATAAAGTTTGAGCCTAGAGCCTCAAATGCTTTCTCTTGAGGAATCACAATCCAAAAATCTGCCAGTGTGTTTCTTCAGAAAAGGCAGGTACAACTGAGCAACTACAACAAGGTTCATCTTAACAACTGTCCCTCGCCAGCCAGACCCTTCCTTCCAGATCCTTCTTGCCTTGCCCGTGAGAGCCCAACCAGCAAAACCATTTGATTCTTCTTTGTTGTTTTCAGAGACATGGGCCCTCAAACACATTGTACCACTTGGTCAGGGATGTCAAAAAGGTAAGAACCCTCTCGACTGCACGTCGGAGGCCGTCTTGACTGCTTCCTGTGATTAGAAAGCGCCTCTGTTTCGCATTGCATGAGCCACCAGAGTATTCCTGTCCCTGCCAGACCCCTCATTTCAGGACACAGCATGCAAGTGTGGCCTTTAACTCTGACATCTCTGCTTCTGGCGCAGCTGCGGTTTATCGCCAGTCTCCGTGTTCTAGATGCTTTCATTGGACGTGGTGCTTTTCGATAGTGGAACTCTAGGCGTTTGCCCCATGACATGTGGATTTATGCCATTACCTGTGTATTTCCATATGCCCCTCACTGTTTGGAGGGCTAGTTTCCATGCTGTCCAACTGGCCAGAAGAGGTATCTTCATCCAGTAGCTCCTGATGCAATGTGTCACTGTCACATCCGGCATTATACAGACTATAGTAAAGATACCTCAAAAAGTCTCAGAGAAACGAAGACTAAAGTACATGTATGTACACCATCCTTCTAATAGTTTATTTTTTCCTGTGTATTTTTTCTCATTCATTACCTAAGATTTTGATAGAGGAAAGAAAGCCATTAGATTTGTCACATTTTACAGATGAGGAGGCTGAAATGCAAGGAGGTGAGAACTGTACTAGATGGTTAGTGAAGAGCTAGGATTAGAACTCAGAACCTTTGATTAGTAACATAGCAACAATACCTGATATTTAGTGACGAATCAGTGTGTGACACCAATATGAGCTTCCTGTGTGCCTTAACTCATCTTCACAACAATTCTATGAGTAGAATTACTATCATTACTATTTTGTTATTATATAGTACGATTCCCAAATATAGATGAGAAGAGTGAGTCACAGGGAGGTCATTTTTAAACTTAGCCAAGTGCTTGTTCTTTTGCCCTGTACACTCTCCTCCAGAGGCAGCTTTGGTCCTGAGCCTTTGGCAGCCTCCCCAGACAGTGGTGCCTTAGCTCGGATGGACAAAACAGATGGTGGCACTTCCCCCACCCCGCACACATGTGCACGTGTGCGGAGGTATACCCACCTACCAGACTGCAGTGACTCCTCCCCAAAGTCCATAGGACGCCCTCGGAGAAAGCTACACAGTAAGGTCAAGAACAGAGTCCAGTTCCTTCATGTCACTAGAATTCATTGGCCAGAACTGACCCATCGGTGTCTGGTAGCCTCTTTTTTATTTTCCTTCAAAAGGCCAAGCAAAAGCCCAGGGGCTACTTATAATGTGTGGATTTATGCCACTGCCTGTATTTTTACCATTATCACCTGGTACCTATGAACCATTTTACCAAATGGAACAACCATTTTACCAAAATCACTTCTCTCCCTGGCCTGCCCCATTTCAAGTCGTAAGCACACCTGCCCTCCACAAATCTATTTCTCTCTCCCTCAGGTCTTCTCATTTTGTTCAATTTATCCCGGCTGAAAATTGCCTAGAAATTAAACAGGGGGCAGTATTCCAGAATACTGTGTATACATCCAATGTGCATTATTTGCCAAAATATTCGTTGCTCATGTTCAATAAGATGTTTTGAGATGTTTCTAAAATAATAAGATATTGTCCCCCTTGCCTTACGCTACTCTGCATCACTGAAGGAATGAGGAGGCTGTCTGAGGAGACCGCTGTGCCTTTGTTCCTCAGTCCCAGCTGTTGGTCAGTCCCAACCTTCAAATAAAGTCACTCATCCATCTCCATGACTCAGCTTCTCAATGTCTTGCATGAGTTTCAAAGGAATTTTATAGTTAGATTTTACTGAGTACAAATGATCAGAACCCCTCCTCGTAGGTTTTCTTCTTTGCTAGACTCTGCTTTGCAGTATCACTTAATCTTTTCCAAAACCCCATTAGCTGTCTCTTGCATTCATTCACCTCACTTGTATTGAAAAGCATGTAGAGTATTTAGCTAAGGATGTACTGACGCATGCACTGACCAGCAGTGCCCGCGGCATCATGGATGAGACATGAGACAAATTCACATGGTCTACCGAGTCCTGGGGAGGAAAAGGGATGGCACGGCTACTCCCTGAAAAAGGAGAGAGCCTCAGAACGGCCTGGCCACCCTCTCAAGGGGAAAGCGGCTCGAAGCAGCTGGGCAGTTCTCTCAAGGAGAGAGAAAGCTCACTGACCCTTGCCTAGACAAGCTTTTATTGGGGGTTTTTGCACAGGAGTTCAGGTGCAACATATTAATTATTATCAGGCAGTAAACAGTAGATAGTATACAAAGAACCATTAGGGCTTCTCCTAAGTCAGAGTCTGTCAGCTAAAAGGCTATAGAACTTTGGGAGCATAAAGTCTTATCATTTAACTAAGAGAATACTTAGCAAAGCAGGCTTCACAGGATTGTTAGGAATTCTTTCTCATGCCAGATCACTGGGAAATTCGCCATTCCCAGCACAAGGCTACACCACCCTCCGTCATTGTTTTCAGGCTTAAGTCAGTCAGAGGAAGCAGATAGCCAAGGAATTCTCAGAGACTTCTTGCAGACAGACTGAGGACTCAGGCTTTGTCAAAGCCCGGGGGCGAGGGTCCATCACCCCCTTTCTCCTTAGCCCCCCAAGTCCTTCCCTGGGGCCTCCATGTGATCATGCCTGTCTTAGGTGATTCTGCCCTTGGGGAGTATCACCCATCATTGGCTAACTGATCAAGCACTGGAGGCCAGTTATGGAAAAAAGAGCAGAGGCAGAGCTCCTGCCAGGAAGATAAGCTTTGTCTCTTTAGTGGCTTATGGTCTGGAGGTCGCTCAATCAGCCTTAGTCATGGGGGGTTTCAGCTCCTGAACCCAGGCAGGGCTGTCCCCAACAATGTACCTCAAAAATAATAATAAACAAGAAAGAACAAAATGGTAAGAATTTGGAAGGCAGGAATGTTAGTGAGGAGCAGTTTTATTTTTCTTTTAGTGCTATACAAATACTAGAGCAAGGGTATAGTTACATAAGAATTCATCTACTTACTAATTTAGTAACTGGGAAAAAATGATAACAGAACACCCAGAAAGTACTGAACGGGCTTAGGAACAATTTATCTCTTTAACCTGGAATGAGGACTGCCAATAAGGTGGAAGAATCGGGAAACCCATGTTTAGTTCCTTCCCTTGGGAATGGGAGCAGGAAGTGCAGCTTCTATTTCTGTGCTACAGATGAGCATGTGATGATTGGAGAGCAAAGAATAACAATGGCAGTTGAAGGAGCTGGAAGTGTCTACATGTTGTCACGTGGACAAAGGGAGCTGAAAATAAGGGGGGTTGTTTTGTGTTTTTTAAGAAGTGAATGATACAGAAATTAATATTGGTGCACCTTTTCCTCAGGTGGTTCCAGAAGACTTCTAGCAATTTAGACCAATAAGATACTCAGAGTGTACACAAACTAGGTTTATATTGCTAAGGAAATCTTGAACAGTTTAAGCAATTGTCAAAAATTAAGAAACATAATAATTAGCAGGTACTTTGTGCTTTATGATTATAGGACTTTATGTACGTATGAACTGATTTATGTGGCAAAAAAAGTTAATCAGCAGGTGATAAACCCTGGTATAAAATGCTGTTCATGAGTTATGAACACAGTTCTGGACCTTGAACATAGCGTTTGAGAATATGTCTGTAAATGAAACGTAAGTAACGCTTACAAACCCAGGGAATGTGTTTCGGAAAGATCAGCCCATGAGTTAATCAGTGTGATGTCGGAAAGTCCATCTGTCCATTGGAACCAACAGAGTTGACTGTAAAAATTTCTCCCAGGCCAGTTTCAAAATCTCAAATTATGCAAACCAAGGGAACAATCTAGGAGCCATGAAGTAAAGAGTTGCTATTCAGCATCAATTAGAAATTTAAAATAGAAGCCAACCAAATTCCCTGAATGGTTTTCATGCATAAATCCATTGGATGTACCAAGTGCTCTTATGAAACCAGAGTGGCCTGAGTCTGTCTGCGTTTTCATGAATTCTAACTGCCATCTTAGTAGCTAACTGTCTGCTCAATTTGTGCCTTTGTATGTTTTAAAGCAGTAGTGAAAATTAAATGTGCTAATACTTCAGACTACCTGTACTATCCCTCCCCACCAAGGAGTATGATATCCAAGTTTCATATAGAAGTAGTATGAAATTACGATAGTTTAAAATTCATTCATGGGAATCAAGACTCGGGGCTTTACAGAATGAAAAGCATTTCAGACACACTTTGGGTGAAGGACGGATATTTTATAATCCCATCTGCGAAATTCGTGCAAATTTACAACAGCATTCTTCTTTTTTATAAGATTAGTTGCCCCGGCGATTACTGCAGCAAACACTAGAGGAACGTCCTCCTCTTTTTCCATAAACTTTCACCAGAATAGCCTTGCCCCCCCTCCCTCCTGGTAAACCTCACAACCGGCTGTCATTCCCACCTAACATGCATCGGGAGGAAACAATCTTGTTTTGGAGGCTTGTTAGAAGTTTCCAAGAAAAAAGATATGTCTCCTGAACAGCTGAAATCTGACAGTGGTATCGTAAGCTGACATCTGAAAAGCAGAGTGCATTTAGAAGAGAAAATCTAAGTGCGTTTAAACAATTCTTCTGATTAATAGTTATGCTTAGGTATGGCATGGCTTAAAACTTAGCTGCAGAGTAGCGGCTCATACGAAAAAATGAGACGATGTTTTTTCTAGTTACCAAGTTGCACCTGCCTCTAGACCCTCGCTTCTCTGTTTCATTCCGTGGATGAAATTATTTAAGTCATGTGGCTTGCCTTGTGTTGTTAAGGCATGAAATGGGAAATAAGTGTTCAGGCATTACCGGTTAGCAAAGTAATTACAAAAAGGGGAGGGGAAAAAACAGAAACAGCAAGAAGAAGGAGTAGCACACCAGGATCACTGTTGACTTTCTACGTGAAAAGGACCCAAGCCAAGTAAGACTCCTCCAGAAGGTGTTTGGACATTACCTGTGGTACATGAGGTGCCGTTCACTTTCTCTGCTTTTTCCAGAGGAGGTGGATGTGGTGGTGAGCACAGCCCCATCCCTGTCCACCCCTTACCCATCCCTGGTCTCTAAGCCCCCAGCTCCACTAACCAAATTTCAGGGGATTAGTGGAAACCACATCAACCCTGGACAAGAATCCCTGCCCAGCGACCCAGCAGCATGGACATAAGAGCAGTCTGTCATGTAGCAGTTAGACAATCAGACCTTTAGAAATAGACAAGACTCTAGAAGAAACTGCGTTCAAACTGCCTGTTATCAACGTGTAAACTGAGGTACAGGGAAAGGGTGTGATCTGGCCAGGCCCACAGCCGGCCCAGTGCTGCTTCCACTGCAGGATCACATTGCTGACTGTTCTCTGCCCATCGGGTACACCTGCAGGCCACAGGGGGCCACGGGCATCAGCTCAGACAGGTACCGATGCTGCCATCCCCTTCAGAGCTCACCCAGGACACAGTTATTACAATTTTTTCATTTTATGAACTATTTTCCCAAAAGGTTTCCACTCCTCCCAGTAAAAATTGCGAAACTAATATCCCCTAATTTCTCTGCCTCCGCAAAAAAACACCAGCTCCAGTCAAGTCTTGCAGACTGAGTTCAAACACATTACCTGGTAAAGTAAGCTCTCCCTCCTCCTGATATCACTACAAAAGCATCTGATTCTCTCCTTATCCCCAGATCCTCCAACCTGCTCTGTATGTGCTTACATCACCTGATTACACAAAATAGCAGGCAGGCAACTGCTAGTGAGGAAGGAACCCTCATTGGCTTTGGTTAGGTAAACATCGCCACCGTGTGGTCAACCAGAATGCAGCCCCCCTCCCCCACCCCACCCCTGACCCCATCCCTGGCCTTTACTGAAAGTTGGGTAGAACCCTGGATAGTCTCTGAATCCTTTCTCCTCATTCAGATCAGGTCATATATCACTCTGAAAGAATCAAGCTTTATATGAGAAGTTTCTAAAAAAGAGATGTTCTCACCTTCTCACCTAGTCTATAAACCTAAGAGCCCTTTATCAATAAAGTCATTTGCAAAAAATGTTTTATTTGTCCCTCTTAAATTCTTATTTATTTTGAATTTTACACTTACCACTTTCCTGACAACTCTCACTCTTACAGACATCTCAAACGTATAAATATTGCCATTCAATACTGGCCTTCAGGCAATATTTGTTCTTATTAGAATTCAAACTAATGTTTGCATATCTGTTTCTCAAAAGAAAATATATAGGTGTTGCTATTACCCATGTTTCAAATTTAGAAAATTGTTACAAGATTAGAAATAGGCACGAATTCATAGACTCGCTATGACTACCTTTCAAAAGCTATCACAATAAATCCTTTGGTGACCTTTTTTGAAACCTGGTACATTACAGACCATAGAGGCCATGAAGTTCAACTCTTTTTACTAGGAAAAAACCTGAGGCGTTCAGGGAAAGTGGCTGATTTGTTCAGGACGGACAGAAGCCCTGGGCAGTTGACTCCTGACTTCTACACAGCGCCAAGGAAAATAGCACAGATGGGAAGGGTGTTCTGGGGTCCTTCTTGTAGGAACCCAGTGCAAGGGAGACCAGGCTGACTCAGGAGTGTCCGGCTCTGGGGCTCCTCTGCTTTTGAAATGCCAGAGTCACTTCACTGTCTGGTAGAGCCAGACCATACAGATACTGCAGCCTCGTTAACCTGTCCCAAAATAATGGAGAAAAACCAGTGCACAGGTAATATTTTTAACCTCAGTTTAATGTGTATGGAAACAGCAATACCTGAAAAGTTACAGTCTTCAGATAAAACCTTTTCTAAGTTTCCTTTTTTATATTTTTGCCATGTTTGGCATAAAAAGCCAGACAGTTGGTCTTTCTTGATAGCCTGAGGATAGCTTAATTTGACAATTTAGTTAGATTGACAAGATAGTCTTCAAACAAAAGAGTTCCCAAAATTCTGAGAGATGGGGAGGAACTAAGAGACAATTTTGGTGAAGGGACAATTCAGCTAATAGAATGGGCCAAGGTCAAGGACGGGAGGGGCTCTGGGCCTCAAAGTGCTTCTATCTTATCTAGGACACCCTTCACAAAGTCCCACTTTGCTCAGCGGCTCAGATTAGTCCCCAAGCCTACCTTAGGGGATCTCGTCCACTTGGGCTGTTGCTTCCGTTGCTGTCCATTCATTCCTGCCCGTGCACATACAACAAAACACACATTTCAAGTCAGATTTCTGCAGTCAAGTGAGGCTTTCCCAAACAGGGGTGATTCACATGGCACTGTTTCACTGGTTCACATTTCAACAACCACCACGCAAAGCATTTTGCATGCCTACCTTACACCAAGCACTTATAAAAGGCACTGGGAATACAAAGATAAATAAAACAATTAAAAATATAAAGCTAATCCTCCCTGCTTTCACCTTCAACACAAGGGATATTCATAAATGACTTCATCCGGACATCCATCCTGCTGTCCTTTTATAAAAAGGCACCAAATGTTTTTCATCAATAGAAGTTTGGTGTTAAAGGAGATGGGAACTCTACCCATCTGCCACCTAGTGCGAGCCCTGGTAGTAACGATCACCTTCTGGAAGGAGTCTTCATTTAGTGGGTGTGAAGAAATAAATGATCAGCAAGAGGGTGGTAAGGACGGGCCTGGGTCAGAGGCAGAGCAGCGAGGGGCCTGGGGACTTCTGCGGAGCCGCGTTCCTAGTGTCTGGGAGCGATAGCACTTGCCTTGTCTCGCCTTGTGTTGCTTTCTGCTACACTGGTGTTTTTTTCTCCTCAGCTGAAGACTTGAATAAATATTTTGATTTTCTGTTATTGCCGACGATCACTGCATCTTCTTATTTAACTTATGTCTTCTTTCCAAGCGAGAATATCCAGGTTTCGGTTGGATCTATTTTAAGGTGAATTAATTAACCAGTATAATCATACATTCATATGTTTCTTTTTTAATTTTTGTTTTACTCTAAAATAGTTACAGAGTGCATGGGCTAGACTCCCTAGTAAATCACGCTGTCTTTCGGATCTGTTTGTTTGTTCTTCCCTGATAGGGGAACCTGCCCCCAGACTACAGAATCAGCCTGATCGACATCGGCCTGGTGATCGAGTACCTGATGGGCGGCGCCTATCGCTGCAACTACACGCGCAAGCGCTTCCGGACGCTCTACCACAACCTCTTCGGGCCCAAGAGGGTGAGGCTTGCGGCACATTCTGTTTCCTGACCTCTGGGAGGATGAGAGCGCTCAGGTTTGGGGGTGTGGCTTCCTCCTCCCCCAGTGGGAGATCAGATAAGAAACAACTGCTCTACCTCTTCTTCCCTCGGGCATCAAATCCATTTAAAAAAAGAAAGAAAAGAAAAAGAAATGTATTCAGTGATAACACACTCCTTTCGTTTCCTCCTGAAGTCCAATTCGAAGCAAAAACTGGCACTGAGAGTGAGCCTTAAAGATCACAGAATAGCAACGAAATTCAAATTAATCTTGTTAGGTACCTCAACAGTTTTCAAGGTTTAGGGTCTGGGGATCTATTTAAACCTTTAAAAATTATCGAGGACTCCAAAAGTTTTCATCTACGTTGAATGGTATCAGTAGTTATCATGCTGGAAATTAAAGTTGAGACTTTTTAAAATAATTATTAATTCATTTTAAGGTGGCCATAGGAAGTCCACTCATTACATATTAACATAGATAACATGTTTATTTAAAAAACGACTATGTTTTCAAAAACAAAAATGAGTGATGAGTAGCATGTTTTACATTTGTTTGCAAGTTTCTCTAATGTCTGACTTAATAGAAGACAGCTATGTCCTCTTACCTACTTCTGCACTCAGTCTGTTGCAAGATGTTGTTTCGGTTGAAATATAGGAAGAAAATCTGTCACAAAAATGTGTTAAATATGACAAAGATATCAAAAAAGGAAGAAGTAGCCCTGAACAATGTGGCTCAGATGGTGGGGCATCATCCCACAAAGCAAAAGGTGGCTGGTTCGATTCCCCATCAGGGCGCGACTCTGGGTTTCAGTCCCCAGCTGGGGGCCCACAAGAGGCGTCTGATTGATGTTACTCTCATGCGTGGGTGTTTCTCTCCCTTTCTTCCTCCCTCCTTTCCCCTCTCCCTAAAAATAAATAAACAAAATCTTTATTTTTTTTTTAGAGAAATTTTTAAAAGATTTTCTTTATTTATCTTTAGAGAGGAAGGGAAGGAGAGAAGGAGAGAAATATCAATGTATGGTTGTCTCTCGTGCACCCCCTGCTGGGAACTGGCCTGCAACCCAGGCATGTGCCCTGACTGGGAATCAAACTGTGATTGTGTGGTTCGCAGGCCCCTGCTCAATCCACTGAGCTACACCAGCCAGGCAACAAAATCTTTAATTTAAAAAAAAAAAGAATAAGAACTCTTTACAGATAATTGTAGATGCTCTATTTCGGTACATCAAAATTCAACAAGAGGCAATTTCTCGAAGATTAGTTGCAACATAAAATCTGAAACCATGTCAGTGAACTTTTCATGCTGTTACATTAAAATCCAAATTTCAATTTGTATGAATCTCATCACATCATAGATTGGCCATTGTAAAATAGGGGTTTGTTGAGTTATATGCAGATTTTCCAAATGCTGACACATTTTCATTATACAATTTCAAAAGTTTTCATTCATTATCACCCCCAATCTCATCAGAATAGTCTTTAAGTACTAAAAAATTGTCGAGGTCATAAGATGGGGAGGATATGTTTTCCAAGATTCTGTTTTTTTGCTTGAAAACTTGAATTTTGTCATTGGCAACCAATACTGTGAGTTGTTTTCCTTGAAATGACAGACTTACTTCATTCATTTTCCAAGTGTCTGCCATTCAAGTCCAAATAATTGTACTTGTCCACCAGTCATTTCTTCACACAATCATTCGTGAAACAGAGTGGCCATAATTCAGTCCAAACAACCCCATAAGTGTGTGTCCTCAGGACACCCATCCTAGTTCAGTCTGTAGCAGGAGTGTTTAATGCCTAGTTCCCACTTCACCCCTTGGAACAGTAAAAAGACATTTTTTTTTTTACTAGCAAGAGTAGAGATTTAATAAACATAATTTTTTAGCCCTCATCAAGCACATTCTCAAGAAAAACTGCTTTGTTTTGTTTTAAACTTTGAGTATATAACAGTGAAATGTAATGATAACTAGTAAAGTCTGGTACCATGGCCGTCATTATTGCTAAGGCACCCAGCAGTTTCAGCCACCGTTGCCTCGGCACCATCAGTGCAAATATTAATATAGTATCAATATCAACTAATATCTTAGTGTTATTGCAAAAATAGCTGTGACTTCACAGCCCCCTAGGAGGGTCTCAGGAAAGACACTGCCCCCAACCCACCTCCAGAACAGGCCGCATGGTCCTTGGACAACATTTTGAGAACTGTTGATGTAGCTGGTGGTGGACATGATTTTTATTTTTACCAAAACTTATCTTCTGATAATTCAAGCATTTTGTGGTACTAGAAAAAAATATGAAAACACTAAAATGTATACATTTTTAAAAATCACAACTTTCAAACTGGTGGTCATTATGAAAGCTAAAAGCAGAAGAAAGGGAGAGAGACAAGGTATACGTGACTCCTCCTGGTATGGTCAAATAAAACTTGGAAAACTGTAAATGCTGTAATCTTTTTTTTACTCAAATAACTTTCAAGATGGCACCCAACCATTCTGTAATACTTAAAACCTAGAATTGTAATTCCTCACCCTTAAGATGTAATTTTATATCTCCCCTTGTTAAATACAAGTCAAGTCTCTATAAGTGGCTGAATGGTTGCTTCTATAGTTGCTTCTCTATCCATCTCGGTCTGCACCTACTTTGCACATCCCAGCATCGCCAATGATGCTTCTGTATTTGCTGACACTTCCAATGCCACTGAGTGCCTTGGGTACCATCAACATGTGGCCCCTGGCCACTCACCTTTGTTCTACCGGACAGCAGCCTAGAGAGATGGCAAGTGTGAAGCACCTAAACATATACTTCTGAATAATATCCCAAGTCTCCAGGTGATAGATGTCCTTCAGAGGCTGGAGAAACCTCTCATGGTTTGATTGAATGTCCCATTGTTCACTAAAGTGCTTGATGTCATGGAGATGCCAAGCAGCACAGTTCTCGGAAGATGGAAAAAAATTTGGTCCACAAAAGGGTTGATACACCTGCAGGCTCTACCCCTAAGCAATCACATTATGCCTTTGAAGTTTTCTAATTTTCTGTGATTCACCAAAATTACTAAATCCCTAACTTTCAAAGAATTTCTCTAAATAAGTTCCCTTTGTGGTATTTTATTTAGCAATATCAATAAATGCGTTTTGGTAAATGGAATTGTTTCATTACCTGTCTGAGATAAAGTAGGATTCTTTTCTTATATCTATAAAGAAAGATCTAACTTGGTGCATGAAATTTTTTTTAACAGCCCAAAGCCTTGAAACTACTGGGGATGGAGGTAAGTGTTCACTCAAATTATTAGTGTTCATTATTCTATTCTTCTACACATTTCGAATATATCCATAAGTTCATTTCAGTGGTGGGGCTTGGGATATGACTCTAAAATAAGGAAGTAAAAATTTTCCCAGTGTTGACGGCACTGGGCACAGTTGCTTTGAAAACGTCACCATGAGATTATACTGGCATTGCAAACAAGGAAATAAATCCTATTTGAAATACAAACTTGAAAATCAAGGAAGCATATATATTCCAGTAAGCAATGTATATTCACGGGTGTGTAGAAATGGTACAGACCCAAAGGCCAGAACTATCTCACAAATGCATCTCTGAGGCATGTGGAAACTGGAGATAGTTTACCTTCTCCCCATCTCGTGTTAGTGCGGTTACTGCTACACACTCAAATGCAAGTGTGGGATGTCCTTATCCTCTGAGAGAAAAGTGGAGTGTGTCCGTCATGAGGGACACCCTACCTGCAGAGGGGGGAAAAAAAAGGACAAAAGTAAAAAAGAAGAAGAATATGGCCCATTAAAAATACTTTTTAAAAATTAAACTATAACAATGATATAGTCTCGTCAGACTGTGTTCATGCTATTTTAACTTGTTTTAAAATTAGGCAAGTATGAGCTTGTGAGGTCTTTTGGGATTAGAGCTGGGATAGGATATAGGTGCATATATCTCAGAGCTATTGCAGGTTTGGTTCCAGACCACCGCACTAAAGAAGTCATCATCTTTTTGCTGGTGAAGTGTTTTGCCTTTGATTTGTAAAAAATACAACATTTATGAAGTACCATAAAGTGAAACACAATCAAATGATTTATGCCTATAGTTCATTTATGTATCTGCAAGAGTTAGGCCAATAGTAAAATAACTGTTTACTGTATTTAATTGATTCATTTCTAACTCCACCTCTATGTTTTTTCCCCCTAAAATTGCAGGACGATGTTCCCTTGAGGCGAGGAAGAAAGACAACCAAGAAGCGGGAAGAAGAGGTGGACATCGACTTGGACGATCCAGAGATCAACCACTTCCCTTTCCCTTTCCATGAGCTGATGGTGTGGGCCGTCCTGATGAAGCGGCAGAAGATGGCCTTGTTCTTCTGGCAGCATGGCGAGGAGGCCATGGCCAAGGCCCTGGTGGCCTGTAAGCTCTGCAAAGCCATGGCTCATGAGGCTTCTGAGAACGATATGGTGGATGACATCTCCCAGGAGCTGAACCACAACTCCAGGTTGGCCAGCCCAGAAAATGGGGTGATCAGGGGACCAGAAGGGAGGGTAGGCCCCAAACACTGCATGGAAGGTCTGAGCTACCTAAGACTTTAAGGTGAGATAGTATCACCCCCATGGTACACGGAGACGGTGGATGTGAGGAATCTGTTTTTGGCGCACAGCACTAGATGTGGAGGTACACACAGGAGATTGCATTTCTGCATTTCAAGCTACCCAACGTGTCTGGCATTTTCGCTGTAAGCAGGTTTGCTGTGAACATCTTTGCTTCGAGCATTTTCACCACACAACTAATAGGCTGTACAGCAATTTTGCCGTGAAAGATTGCTGTACAAAATAATAAAATAAACGAAAGACATTAAAAAGGACATAATAGAACATAAAAAAATTAAAAACAAAATTTAAAAACCGTATTGCAAAAAATGAAACTACATTGTCTTTGAAGTCTTCCATTCATAGCATCATACTTTTCTTTTATATTTGCAGCAGCTTGGTAGACTTTTGATTTTCATGGGTGCCGGATGAATGCTCACCGAATGATTTGCCAACTGATGTGTTACCGTTTTCTAGTATAGCATGTGACCTGGCTTTGTATGTAGTTGTCACCATTCACTATTTTAAGAACACCATGTCTGCTCATCATTGTGCAGGCCATTATGAGGGCTAAGATTTATGTAACACGCAAAAGGAAGTAAGTGGGAGAACTTCCTCCATGGAGAAATGAAGCCAAACTGACAACTAGCTAAAATAGATTAAGTTTATCAACCAAACTGTCAAACTGTCATTTTATCTTTTATGGTGAAGTTGCCTGACAGCCAAACTGTTGTGCAACAAAAATACTTACAGCAAAAATACCTAGAGCTCTGCCCCAAGAGATGGTCCTCTCATTGTGGCTATTTTACAACTCAAGGAAATGAAACTTAGTATTTAAGTAACGTGTCCAAAATCACACACTTGTGGTTGACAAGGCTCGGGTTTGAATGGAGGTCTGTCACATTTAAGAAGACAGACATGCAGCACCATGATCATTAATTTACTGCTCTGCAGCCCCCATCCACATACCTTGAACTGAGGGCCTTGAGTGCAGGATTCGTGCCTTATTTGACTTACACCCCTAGTTCTAACCACAGTGTCTGGCACATAGAGCTGCTTAATGGATGTTGGCTGAACAAGTGAATGAATGAAGAGACTAGACCCTGTAAGAAACAGCTAGACCCCTCAGAACCTACCTCTTCTGGCTCACCAGTGGGTCTCCAAAATGGCCAAAAGAGGACTCTTGACATGTTCTCTTTCAGGGACTTCGGCCAGCTGGCCGTGGAACTCCTGGACCAGTCCTACAAGCAGGACGAGCAGCTGGCCATGAAACTGCTGACGTATGAGCTAAAGAACTGGAGCAATGCCACGTGCCTGCAGCTGGCTGTGGCTGCCAAGCACCGCGACTTCATCGCACACACGTGCAGCCAGATGTTGCTCACAGACATGTGGATGGGCCGGCTCCGGATGCGGAAAAACTCGGGCCTCAAGGTCAGTGCACCCATGAGCACCGGGCGTTTGGTCGGAGTTTTCCAAGCTACATGTGCAGCGGGGATTAGGCATTTTCCTGTCTCGGGAGGGTGACTCTGAACCCCAACCGGGCACCAGGATCTTCTGTAGAGTGGAGTTCGGGTTTTTTATTTTTCTATAGAGGCTAAGACCTTCCCTAAATTCTGCTAAATCAATAGAGATGGTACTCAGACATTAATATTTTTCAGAAGATCCAAAGGTGATAGTGACACTGAGGTGGCACAGGTACCTCAGGGTTGCCATTTGCTCTGACACAAGCTATGCTATATGAAGAGTCACTTACCTGGGCAACCTTCACTGATGAGGAAGACCAAACACCCTGGCCTGCTTTATACCATGTCATAAAGAGACATTAGCTCTTAATTCAGCAACATTTGAGAAATTTTTAAAACTCAGAGAACAGTGAGATAGCACCAAGTAATCTTGATCCATTCTTAAGTGAAGGAAAACAAGTTGCATATCAATTTATTACCTAAGTCCGTTTTTGTCTTTTTAAGTACGTACATGTATAGTTATAGCTATCTAGATTAATTTTTTTAAAAAAACACAGTGTTACCTCTAGGGTTGAAGTATAAGAAGGATGATGGGTGGCTTTGCTCTTTTATGTTTTTCTAATGTCTTTCAAAGGAAACATTAAACTGAGAAAAGGAAAAGAAAGATAGTAAAAATGGGAGGGGAAGATTAAAAGAATGTGTTAAAATAGTTTCTCTGTTTAGAGCTTGCGGCTGTTACAGTGAGACCAGGCTCCTGTTTACCTAGCACTACCTGATCGGGGGGACTCTGAGATCAGCCCAAAGCAGAAGGGCCATGAGACCAGAGCAATAGCTGAGGCCACCTTGACCAAACCAGCACCCCCTCCCTCCCTCCCTCCCCCCGCCAACTCACCCTTCCACGGGCTCTTGGCCCAGAGTCACAGAAGGTTTCCATGAAGTGGCTCATGGGTGTTCCGTAGCTGTGCTGGGTGTTCCATCGCTGGGTGTTTCACCGCCAAGCCTGGCTCTCAGCTCCAAGGACAGGGTGTCATGTCCCCTGAAGGCTGCCAGCATGCCACCTGAGCTTTCCCAGGCTGCCAGACACCCTGCGTTCAGGGTCACCGCACTTTCTTTTCCTTTAGCTGCCCCAAAGCCCCTGTGGGATTTGAGCACAGACTGTCCCTGACTCATTATTTGAGAATCATTTTAACTTACCCTTCAGGATCCTCTCTGCCCCTCGTCTTGGTTCATATTCTGGAGCCTTGTGCAGCAGAACCATGTCAGGACTGAGGGAAGGGGTGAGGGATTAGAGAACACAAGTCAAATGTCAGTGTTATTCAGAAATGCATTTGTTTCCTGGCACACGGAGAATGAGGTTGCCCTCTCGTGAAAGAGGCTCATGCATTTAGTGTCGTCACACGATGTTTGAGCATGTTGTTCATACATGGGAGAAATCTAGTGCTGGACCCACCTGAGGTATGACAGGGGCTCCCTCAGGAGGACGCAGAGCCCCCTGGGGTGGGTATGTGTGTGTTTCCATTGGACAGTAGTAAGTGGCAGGAGAAAGCTCTAAAATGAATAACATACTTTGTTTCGTGGACTTTTTTAAGGTCCACTTAGGGACAGCATTTTTTACAGATAACCAGATGATACAATTAATTCCACTTGACATATTAGCAAATAAATGCCAATGGACATACGCATGAATTAATTTCACCAAGTCATGGGCTATCTAACGCTTAAATGGTAATCTCAATTCTGTCCCACTTTTGCCTTGGGTAGCATCTCTCTTTCTCCCCAGTTTCCCCATGCAAAGTGAGTGTTAAATGAGTAATATGTATTTGGGTAAGATGTTTTGTTTCTCCAAAGTCAGATTGAGCTACTGTGCATAACAATTCCAGGTATTTTTACGATGAGCTTCTTTGCCACAAACATATTCTCCACAAAACTAACTGGGTATAAGGTGATTTTTCCATAAAAGATAAAACAATTAAAAAATAAAAGGGGGTATTAAAAAGGACCTAGTGAAGTTCATTTTCATAACAAAATTAAGACTATTGCAAAATACAAAATATTTGAATTTATTAAAATGTGTGGAGATTCTTGTCAATACTGTGCAAATATCCAATTTTATTTCATGGGTAGAACTTAAGCACTCACACATTTTTTGCGTCTTGATATGTCTCCTCCTTTGAGCTGGGCTTCTCAGCTGCTGCTTTTATTCTCACCACACTGTCACGTGTGTGCTGGTAGATGTTTCAAAGTCCAGTGCAGAATGTAGGTTCAACTCTGTGCCTTCACTTCACCAAAAGATTTGCGAACTAATTAACCAGTTATCGTATTCTGGTACAGCATGGAGTCTGACTTTATACTCTCTTCTTTCACATTTTCAGTACATTTTAACACCATATTTTTTATCAAGTCAATATACATAGTTACCCTTCACTGTTTTAAAACCCCCCACGTCTACTCACACTGTACTATAGAGCATTATGAGGGCTCAGATTTATGTAACGTAAAAATAGGAGTGCACTATCAACCTAAACAGTCAACCAGTTCTTCTATCTTTTACGGCAAAATTGCCTTGCCACCAATTAGTTTTACAGTGAAAATGCTTCCAGCAAAGATATTAACAGCAAAGAAGCTTGCAGTTGGTGCAGAGCAGCTCCCAGGTGGCCAGAAATGATGCTCGTAGCATTAAAGTGCGTGGTTATTCAAATAGGCAAGTCCTCACTAGGCACACACACACACTCATACATACACCATACCCCCAGGCCCTCTGATTCTAAGCAACCCTTCTGATCTTAACCCTTTAAATGTGATTATTATTATTATCATTATTATTACTTTAGGTAATTCTGGGAATTCTACTTCCTCCTTCAATTCTCAGCTTGGAGTTCAAGAACAAAGACGACATGCCCTATATGACTCAGGCCCAGGAAATCCATCTCCAAGAGAAGGAGCCAGAAGAACCAGAAAAGCCCACAAAAGAAAAAGACGAAGAAGATATGGAACTGACAGTAAGCAAATACTACTCAGTTACTGTCCATGGGGAACACCCTTGGCCCCCTTGGCCCATACTATGGCCTAATATTCAATAACTCTTGAGGTCAGCCCTTCACCAGGTGCTTTCATTTGGGCCTCCACTATGCACACAAATAGTATGACCTCAGGAACTAATTCTATGTGAAAGTTTTCAGCCAGAGGCAGTGGTGCCAGACAACCCAATGAAATTCCAAAGCAAGACACCCTAATTTTCCAAACAGGCAGTGCTTCCTAAACAACCAGGGGATGCGGCAGCCTTAGCACACAAAGGAGAGGGAGTCAGTGCCTGGGGAGCAGCCGGCTTCACTGAGCTGGAACTGTTCTGCTGATCAGAAGCTAAGCCTCTATCTGTCTTTGGGGTCAGGCTCACAATGCAGGACTAATTGAATTTTGAGGTTTGTATGGAAGGCTTTTATTAGCTCTTCCTGGTATAATTATAGAGCGTGGATGCTTTGTTCTGCAGGGGGAATGGGGCAGCTGGGCATGGGACAGCGTCCCGCAGCCCCCGCCTGAGCAGCATGACTGCCACTGGATTGTATCCAAGATCTAAAAATATCACATGCTGTGAAAGGGACAAACAAGGCTTCACAGCTTGGGCGACATCAACTCCATAGGACCTCCCTGATGTGCCCACGCTCCCCAGCACTCTGACCAACGCCTGTGATGGCCCAGTGAGGCCGTAAGGGGAGAAAACAAAAATTGGTTTGGCTCAAGTGACAAAAGGCCTTCGCATTATTATCCTAGCGGGAACACTCTGTGAATTGTTTTTCCTCCTGATAAACAGTATTTCCTTCCACTAGGCCCTTTCTAAAGATATGTTTTTAGGCACAATTTGAGGCCTGTAGGAGGGTATATGCATCCGACCACACTTTAGATTGATTAATCATTCATGGCTAGTGACTCACTGAGTTTAAAGCCTATGTTTACTTTCAGTTCCAATTTATAGGAATCGGTGGAGTCTCTACTTCCCTCTATGATGGGGTGACTGCCTTCCCTAAAGATTGTACCATTATTTGACCCACAAACCCCTTCATGGAGAGAAAATGTTTTATTAGGAGAAACATTGTACTCATACTACGGGGCTCTTTATTGGCTACTTCAGCAGAGGGGTAAAGAGTGTGTGCTCTGGACCAGAATCCCGCCCCACCCCCTCCTCACTGTGGAACCGCAGGCACCATTTCTTAACCTCTAACGTGGGAATAATAAAAGCTTACAGGTACCTGTAAACCATATAAAAAGTGTGCATGTGCGCTGTGTAGACTGGTGTCTAGCACGTGGTAAGCCTTGACTGACATTTGCTCATATTGTTGTAACAGCGCTAAAGCTTACATGCACTTAATCATGGAATCATGGAACCTTGTAACAGTCCCACAGGTATTTATCCTATTTTACAGATGAGGAAGCTGAGCCTCAGAGAGGTTGAATTGCCCAAGGTTACCAGCTAGTTAGTTGTAAAGCTGGCATTATAACCCAGGCATAAAGATTCCCTTGGCCATGCTCTTAGCTGATAGCTAAGGGATGCTAAATTTTTTTTCCTAGTCTCAAATGTATGCCGCCAGCTGGTTTATTCTACCATGTAGCAGAGAGAATCCAAAAGTGATGCATGGGACTCCCATGTCAAGTACGACATGGCCCTGACATTGGTATACTTCCTGGGGAGACTCAAGGAAGGATTTCAGGAAGGTAGCCAGAAGCTGAGGGCAGTATTCTGTCTGCTTGCATGTCAAGAAAGAAAACAAAGAAGGCAGTTCTCTTCTCTGGCTCCATAGACACAGCTTTAAGGACTGAGCCTTCAAGAAGCCACAATAAAGATGCATCTCTGGACTGAGAGCAAAATCTGCTTCCCAGAGAATAGATTCTGCAGTTGTTCACTGAGAACCCAAGAAGACACCAAAATAGCACTTCTGCCTCAGCTTCTTCCCCACGGGCGGAAACCGCAGGGAGGAAGGAAGGAAGGAAGGAAGGAAGGAAGGAAGGAAGGAAGGAAGGAAGGAAGGAAGGAAGGAAGGAAGGAAGGAAGGAAGGAAGGAAGGAAGGAAGGAAGGAAGGAAGGGATTTGTGGGTTGGCAGAGTCGTGGTGGGACAGCAGTGGTCTTTAAGGTGGGGCTTCCCTTGATACTAATGACAAATATTGTCACTGCTCGAGCCCTGATATTGGCTCATCATGGACAGGATTGGAGAATGCAGCTTTTTATGAGTAATATTTGAGCTTCTGTGTAAAACCAATATTTCCTCTCTTGGAATGAGACATTTTCTCTTTGTCCTTCCAAAATTATACATGAAATATCAGCCTCGGTTTGCTTCATTTTAGTAGCAATTAATAGCTTAGTTCAGACAACATCTGTGTTCAGGCAGCAAAAATTTTTCCAATTTATACAGTGCAGTGTTTGACCCTGCTACATTCTGCTTTAAGGAATATAAGCAGAGGAAATGCTTGACTGCTGGGGAGAGAATTCAACAAAATCAGCAACTAAAGCTGCTTAAGCTGGAATTAATAAAATATCAAAAATCCTTTACTTAAACCCATGAAAGACAAGCAGTTTAAAAATGCACTCACTTTAGAATATATCTGAATAGCAGAGGCAAAACAGGTTGTTATATTTTTGTTATTGTGTTACCTGCATTGTCATATAAATGTCTTGCATTTTGCTTAATAAAGTCCCAACCTGTCCACAGGCCCAGGGTGTTGTTTTGACTCTGTCAGGACAGCCTCTGTCCCTAGAGGTTACCTGAAGATGCCACTTTCCCGAGGCCTAAACCCTCCAAGCTGCCTTTACTGTCATCTCATCGTGTCCTCAAATAGCAGCATATTGTGAGCACACAAAAAGCCAACAGGAGGAGGGATGTTGTGTTTATGTTACTAAATTATAAATTATAGAGGGACAAATATATAACTTCAGAGTATCTTGGAGTCAATGATCAATAATTCATTGCTTTCTAGTTTGCTATATCTATCACAAAGATTAGTTCATCTTACTGATCAAAATCTGCACCTAAATAGGCCAGAGTACAGAATGTTACCTATTCAACAGCTCATGGTACTTCTCTAGCTAAAGGCTCTATAAAGGAATGGAAGTTACCTTCTGCAGAAGTCCTATCGGTCACAGGTAACTCATTTGTGATGGTTACATGGGTGAGTGAAGTGCATATTTGAGGCAATGACAGAAACATTGGAAACTAATATTTATATTTTATGTAAGGTGGTTTGAAACCAGAATCATCTACTCACCAGTGGTTGTCTATGTTCTCAACTTCAAGATAACCTTAAGTTATTTCTATAATTAGATCTCTGAACTCCAAACGTGTATTCTTAGTGCTTTTTCTTCTCCCAAATCTTTATCAGTCTCTAAGAGTTAAAAGGTTTGATCCTGTTCTCACCTTTAATGAAAATTTTATTTCCCCAACATCGTAGAACTAATCTTGTCTCAGAATGATATTGAAAGAATTAAAGCCAAGAAATTATACTGTAATCAATGCTAATAACATACACTTTTTTCTGGTGAGAGGTACCAACTGGATCATTTCAGCCAACAGTGTTTGAGAGTCTTGGATCACTTTAGAGGCTGGCAATACTCACTGAGCACTTATTAAATGCCAGATCTGTTGATTATATACCAACTTTCTAGCAGGTGCTAGTATTACCCTAATTCTACAGACAAAGAAACCAAGTCTTTGGGGAGTTAAAAGACTTATCCAAGGTGTCATGGGTTCTTAGGGCCCAAGTTAGGACGTGATCCTCCTTCTGAGGGACCCCAAGCCTGGAACTCTTCACCATTAGGACCTTAGCCATCTTTATGGCATCCTGTCACTTGCCATCCAGATAGAATGTCTCTATTTTTTTTCAAATTCTTCCTGTTCTGCAATGTTTAATCATTATTGTTGTTGTTGCCACTGCTATTGTTGTGAGTGAGAAGGAAATAATTCCATTCTTAAAGAAATCTCCAAAAGCTTGAGATGAGGGCCTCTCGGGGTCAGGCCTGACTTCTCCGAGTCTCAGCTGGTCGACTGTGCCATGCAGAGGAAGGCAGTATGCCCAGGAGCTGCAGCAAAACGAACACCAGCAGTCACTTGGGTTCCACAGGGTTTGAAATCGGGGAACAAAGGCATACACAGAAGGGTTGGGGAGACGTCTCTAACCAAACTAAGCTTCAGGCACTTCATTAACTAACCTCTTGAATACTCATAACCTCTGAGTAAGTTACATATTACTGGTCCAATTCACCTTTGACTTAAGAGTCTACTAGCATGAGTGAAGACATAGTTTGAACCCAGATCTTCCTATTTCATGATACACATGGGAAGAGTCAGGTTGGGAGAAAAGACAGATTCACGAGCTTCCCAGGCAACACTCTTTCTCCCTCTCAGAATTCCGTGTAACTTCTATCACTCACGTCTTCCAGAGGTCCTCAGGATGGAAGAGACCAGAATAGTCAAGAAATATCCCTAAGGGCTTGCAGCCCCGGCAAGGTACAGATTCTATGTATATGCAAACACACAGAGGAGGCGTTGAATCTTTAAATCAATCTCTGGGGGATTTGGGCAGAGCATTAAGTTTCTATGAACATGTTCCCCTCCTCTGTAAGTGAACACTTTGGACCCCATGATCGCCAGAGCCCTGCCGTGATGCTATTAATTCTCCTTCACTGTAGGCAATGCTGGGACGAAACCATGGAGAATCTTCCAGGAAGAAGGATGAAGAAGAAGTTCAGAGCAGGCACCGGTTAATCCCCTTGGGCAGAAAAATCTATGAATTCTACAATGCACCCATCGTGAAGTTCTGGTTCTACACTGTAAGTATCTTCCCCTTCCTTCTTCCTACTGGATGGCCTCAAAGAGCCGATGCCAATTTCCCATGCACCTGGGTGGTGTCCTCCATTAGTCGTGACATAAAGACCACACGGGCAGAAATAAAAGCTCTACAGCAACCTTGCTTTTTCCAGCATCTTAAAAAGAGTTGTGGAGTATGCGAGGTAGCTTCCATAGCTTCTACATGTCTCCTCCTCACAGAAAATAAAGGAAATTGTCAAAGTGAGAATTAACAGAAATAGAGGGGAGATGAGCATGCAGGAAAATAGATGTCATTTTACAGAACACTTCCCTGCTCTGGATGAATGAGCACTGGATCACAGCTGCCTGTTTTAGATGCCAGCGCTGGGTTCAGGGGCACAGTGCTAGGTACGAGCTGAGCAGAGTGTTAGCAGCAACACCACTAAAGATGGGTAGTGTTAGTGTGTTATCACTCCCGATCTGGTAGTGCCATCTTTCTTGCCCTGACACAATTAACATGCAAACAAAGCAGCAAAAACTACTCGAAGCAAATTACAATCATGGCAAATATTGTTCAGTAAGCACACCCTGCAAACATCTCCGGTCCACAAGATGAAAGATGGCCCCTGAAATAGCTTTCTGGTGTGGTAGAAATGGCCCAACTGTTGGGTTTCTACTTCTGCTTTTCAATGATGTTTGGTGTTTAGAGTGAGCTGTGGCCCAGGCCATCTCTGCTTCTCTCCAGCCACAGTGGAACTGCTCTGAAGGATGGTACGTCTACCCCTTTGGCCTTTCTCACAACCAGCTACACACCAGTCACTTGAATCAACAACAGGATTAGCCAGGTCTGAGGTAGCGGTGACCCAAGTGCCCAGATGAGGTGCTTTTTATGTGGTCCTGTATCTAACGCTGAATGCTAGCTTTAAACGAGGCTCCCTCAGCACTGAGGACATTTGCGCAGAGCGAGCTTTTGTTGCGGAGGACTGTCCTGTGCACTGTGGTAGCACATTTAGCAGCATCCCTGACCCCTCTCCACTACATGCCAGTAGCACTCTTCATGCCCCAGCTATGACAACCAAGGTGTCTCCAGACATTGCCAGATGTCCCCTTGTGGGGTAAAATTGCCACCAGTTGAAAACCACGTCTGTAAAGTATACCCTTGAGAGAGGATGAGATATTATCAAAGTACAAAGATTAGATTGTTTTAGTGAAGTAAAATTTAAATTTATTAATGTTAAAAAAATTCTCCCTTGTTTGACCCAGCAATCCCACTTCTGGAAATATATCCTAAGAATACTGAAACACCAATCAAAAGAATATATGAACTCTTATGTTCATAGCAGCATTATTTATAATAGCCAAGATCTAGAAATAGCCCAAATGTCCATCAGTAGATGAGTGGATAAAAAAAAAAAGTTGTACATTTACACCAGGGAATACTACGTGGCTGTTAAAAAGAAGGGGCTGTTCCTCTTTGCAATGACATGAATGGACTTGTGGATTATTATGCTCAATGAAGTCAGTCAGTCCAAGAAAGACAAATACCATAAATAACCATATGATTTCACTCATATGTGGAATCTAATGAATGAACAAAATAAAATCAGAGACATGGAATGGACTGACAGATCTCAGGTGGGAGTGGGGTAAGGAGGGTTAGAAGAGACTAGCCAAAGAACATATCTGCCTATAGGAATAGGCCATGGACTCAGACAACAATGGAGTGAAGACCAGGTGTGGGGAGCAGGAGCTGGGTGGAGGGGAGCAGAGGTGGGGCAATGGGGGGGGGGGATATCTGTAATAGTGTCAATAATAAAAAAAAAATTCTCCATCAAAAAAAATGATGAAGGCATGCAAAAGTTATTTCTATCCCTATGTCACATACATGATATATTATTTTTACCTTGCAGTAAACAGCTTAGTAGTGAATAGCATGGACTCTGGAGTCACACAGCCTGAGTGGAAATCCTGTCTGTGTCTCTTAGTAACTTGTACCTTCAAGCAAGTTACTGCAGTACTCCGTCCCCAGTTTTCTTAAGATGGGGACTATAACAGTACCTATTTTATAAGGTTTAGTGAAGCTTCAATGTGTTAAAATGTTTGAAGCACCCAGCACAGCGCCTGAAAGCACAACATAAATTTAACTCATCATTCCCAGTCTAGTACCATTGAAGAGCAATAGTTAGTGTTTCATTCATCTGTCTACTCAACAATAATAAAATATCACTTATTGAACACTTAGAACACTTACTATGAGGCACTGCTCCAGGTGTTTATAGAAACTTTCCCTAATCTAACAGTTTAATCAACACAATATTTTTACTGCATTTTACACTCCACTCTGTTCTTCCTCTTAGACTAGGGCTGCCCCAAGTGTCTCACCTGGAACAGGCCTTGGCAAACGAGGACCCACGGGCCCACTCCAGCCACTGCCTGTTACAATGGCCTGGGAGTAAAGAGTGGACTTAAATTTTTAAAGGGTTGAAATAAAACCAAAGGAAGAATATTTGGTGACACATAATAATTATAGGAAACTTCCATTATATAAAAGTTTTAGTAAAATGCAGCCAGATTCACTCACCACTGGCTCCCGAGCCCTGTTTGTGACGAGGGCTCGTGTCAGGTACCCAGCTGCAGAGGATGCAAGTTCAAGGTGTGAAGTGGCACCAGGTCAGAGGGCAGGGTGTGTGCGCTGGTCAGCAAAGACAGACTCCTTCCTCTACTAACACCACGTGCCGCCCTCCACTCTCGAGGGGCAGCAGGAAAAGGCAGTGAGGAATGACGCAGCCCCACCAGGGATCCACAAGCAACTGTAAACTTTGGTGCTTGCATTTCAGAGTTTAGGAGTCATGAATCTTGGTTAATGGAAAATTTATAAAAGGAATATATAAGCATATAAAGTACAAATTCTTATAGGATTCCCACTGACTTAAATAAGAATCGTAAGGTTATGTTTCTTTTCAAAGCTTTGACATTTTACATCCAGCTTGTTAAAGCTCACAGAATATCTATGTGTGTGAATACACATATACACCATGAAAGTGCATCACACTAAGGTAACCTACAGCCGAGCCCCATGGATGTCGGCAAGTTCTGAGATAGGTTGCTCTCAACACAGTGGCCCCACCTCTGTTGTGCCATCTAAATATGGTTAAAGCCCTGTCTGTGGAGGTCCATATTTTGAGAGTTGTCACAAAATATTATATCATATCATATCATATCATATCGTGGCTCAATATGGGAAAAAAAGCATTGTAGGGTAAGTGTGATTTAAAGAACAGGCAGGAGTTAAACAATGATCATGGAAGAAGCAGAAACAATAATGAGGGCAGTTTTTACAAGAAAAAAGAGAGGGAGGAATAGTTAATAGGGGATCAAAAGGAAGCACAGACTGAGGCAAGAGAAGACAAGGTGAATAAAAGTTTCTTAACAAAAAAGGCAAATGATATTGTTAGCCACCGTTCACTGGACTTCTCCAGTGTCTGGAGATAAATACACATCCCCTTGCCAACACCCCAATCCTTCCCAAAGCTGTCTAAGGTCAATAGCAATCACCTCCATTTCACAGAATGGAGATCCAAGCAGGTGCGGTGAAATACACAAAATGGCTCAGCCAGCGAGTACTTGGGATGGATTTAAATCCAAGTTCCTTTCACCAACCACTGTTCCTTCCACCACATACACCAGACCCGTATTCAAAGGGCACAGGCAGGTCGGAGGAGTTACAGGCACACCTCGTTTTCTTATGCTTAGCTTCATTGTGCTTCACAGACACTGTGTCTTTTACAAACTGGAGGTGAGACCCCTCCCCCACCAAAAAGATCAGGGCTCGCTTTCTTGTGGTCCTCTCTTTCTTGCAGCAATCTGGAACTGAACCCACGACATCTCAGATCATAGGCCTGTACCAATATTCAGGGGTTCTGAAAGGGTGTGTGTGTGTCTGTCCGTGTGTCTGTCTGTGTGTCGCTGGGCCTACCTGTGACAAGAGAGGATAATGCTTTGGAATGTTTTGCAATGAATTGGGTAAAATGATAAAAAAAAACAAAAAAAAAAAAAAAACCAGGGCAGTTGACAAGATTCCTTTCACCTAGAAGCAGTAGAATAGGATCCAACAAAGAGAAGGCAGCACCCAAAAAGGGAGAAGGATTTCAGGTCAGAAGAAGGCTGAGCATATATTTTAGAGTTTGACCACTGACATTCTTTCTTTGTGTTTTGTAAACTACCATATGCTCAGGGACTATAGGGCAAATGCCAGTATATAATGGTAAACAGGAACCATGAGAACCAAATTGCCTTTTAAACAGCATCTTACAATGATTTCAGGTACAGTACACTCTTCAAGTGAGGTTTTCATGATGTGCTAATGACCTTGAAGGGGAGGGGTAGGAACTGAGGCAGGGATTATAATGAGAATCCCTGAGGGGGCGGGTGTACCAGAGCAAACCTCTCAGGTGGAGAACCAGCCCTTCGCCCTCCCTCCAGCATCTGCATAACTGCTCTCCTGCTTGTCTGTGATCTTGTGAACTCCCACTTAAATGCTCACCCTTCAAGAGATGAGAAATTATATGGCTGTGTCTGTAAACGCGTCAGCATATTAAGAAAATAACTTTGACTCATATTAAGAATCTGTGCATTTACAGAAGAAGGAAGGAAGAAAGAAAGAGAGAGAGGGAGAAAAGAGAAAGAAGACCAGCATTTCCCTTTGTATTTCCCAGCCACAGTGCATCTGCTCCACCTTCTAAGCTGCCCGCAGGGCCCCAGAGTCAAGGTGTGTCTGCAGAGCCCTCAAGGCCTCAATCCACTGTGTCCTGTTTGTTTTGCAGGCTCCAAAGAGCACAGAAGATTTGAATAAATTCACTCTTAGTTCCTAGTCACAGTGCCTGAGGCCCCTAAAGGCAGCTAGTGCCTTACTCAACTTGAAGCATTGCCTAGATAAGGTTTAAATTCTCTGCCATTTTCCCTAGGTGAGGTTTTCCTCCAGAGACTCCTGGCCTCTTATGCAAGAACCTCACCAGCCCTCCTACACTCCACTCACCGTAGACATAACTGAATCCTCCAGTGACAGTCACCAAACCCCAGCCCTGGGTTTTCCAGTGACACTCAGCGAGAGATTCAGCCAGTTCCAATGGGGTTCAACCTCTGGGGCTGGAGTTTCACGAAGATTAAACCCCACTCCAAACTATAGCCAGCCACACACAATGGCCACACAGTCAGCCATTTCTTTCCATAAATTGCTCGGTTTTCTCTGGTTTTGTTTCAAAGAAGCAGAAAGCAGGAAGAAATGTGCCAAGTTGAATAAGATAGCAAGGTGGTGCAGTGGGAAATAGGTGAAGCCCTGCCAGGGCACTGTCAGGCCAAGCATATTAAAGCAGAAGAGAGAAAAATACATTAAGTCAGAAGAGAATTAAAGTGGGGCTTCCAGATAAAGTCTTGGGTTTGACCAATTTACAAGTGTAGCAAGTGTCTTCTTTTCTTTCTTACTGACATTTAAACCACCTGGCATCCGTCAGGCAAAAATCCTCCGGGTTGCCCTAGTTCAAGAACCTGAGGCTCCTGCATGAGCAAGGGCAGCCCCTGGGAGAAGAGGTTCCCTCGTTAGCCAGGAAGACATGAGAGACTGGATAGATGCAAAACAAAACGATGCATCACCACACCTGGATGCAAGCAAAGTACTGGGGCCTGGACATAAGTATAAGAGTCAAAAGGGAGATTGTATATCAAGTTATTTCAAATATTACAGCCTAATTCTATCCTTTTGCTAGTTTAGAGCTTTGGAGTTCATTTAGTCTTGAGTTCCGAGTTCTGCTTGCTGACCTTGTTTGTGCCCTGCAACCCAGGGGGCCTTGCCCAAGGGCAGGGCTCCCAGACCTTTGCAGCCAGAGCACTGTATTGTGTTTCCTTACAGCTGGCGTACATCGGATACCTGATGCTCTTCAACTATATCGTGTTAGTGAAGATGGAGCGCTGGCCTTCCACCCAGGAATGGATCGTCATTTCCTACATTTTCACCCTGGGGATAGAAAAGATGAGAGAGGTAACCACTTTCATAAAAGAGACCTGAAGAGAAAGACAGCGGCTGGTTCATTCGTGCATAGAGGGAGAGCGAGATACTCGAGATCCACCTTGACCCGAACCATTAGTAAGAATGTTCCCTAATGCAACCACAGAAATGTGGCCTTGGGGGCTGCTGACAAGTGGCTTCGCAGTGTGTTTACAGGGTCGTCACTCCATGAGTGCTCAGGATTTAGTCCGTTTTCTGCTAACAGAGCTCTAGCCCCAGGAAACCTTCAAGTTGTTTATAAAACAGTTTACAACTTTTTAACTCATCCCTAAAAACATGACTTTACATTTTCCACTTTTTTCATCTTTAAGTTTTTCCACTTTTAACTCCCATTGCAAACGCCTCACTCTGGGTCTCTTTGGGCAGGGTCCGCCACTATCTGTGATTCTCCAATGCACTTCAGCAGCTCTAAGAGGAGCTGTGCTTTCATTCACTCTCTGCTCCATTATTTATTATGCACTGGCTGGGCACCAGCCTTTCCACCAGCCCTGGGCATCACTGGGATGAACTGAGCATATTGCTCATCCTCCAGGTTGAGGGTGTGGCTCTCTCTCTTCTCCCCCACCCTCACTGAGTAACAGCCATCATAATACCACCCCCGCATGACACTTGAAGTCATTGCTAGCCTCAGAGGCCATAAGTCAGCCACCAAAATGAATGCAGTGGAGCAACCTTCCACCAGAGGGCTCTGCCACCCTGTTGAACGCACTCCACAGACGACCCTTCCAGAGCCTGTGGGGAATGCCGGCCTGTGCGGTCTGACGATTCCTCTGCATTTCCCCCTGAAACGACAGTCTGCAGCAGAGGCTGCTTCTGCAAGAACTGCTGCCCGTCAAGTCTACTGCACCCTCTAGAGCTCCTGAACAACCCTGCTCTCTACTACAGTGAGTGGGAGAATAATTTGAGACTCCACAGAAAAAAAGATTCCTACAAATCCACAAATTCACCCTTGTCTTCACATTAAAACAGGTTAAAAAGCCCTTACTATCTTAGGTTTTAGCTCTAGAAAGTTCTTCTTGAGAAAGATGCAGTAACTATTAGATGCCTTTGTTTGTATGCAAAACACAGACTTTATTCTTGTAGTACTATTTAATAACATATTATTTTCCATACGAACAACTATAAACCTACTTTTGCCACACTGTCTATATATTTCAAGCTCTTTCTCTTGGATTTTTAAACTGTTTTGGGGATATTTACATTTTAAACAACATACCCCCATCCTGAGAGTTTGGTTGCTGATACCCTGCTCCCATTTTATAAGGGACTAGATTCATTTAAAAACAAAACAGAGGCCTTGCCTTCTCGCCTCGTTCTAACCAGTTGACAGTGCCTTCTACTTCCTGACCAGTCTGTGGACTTCCCATTTGTAAATTGAAGTCAGAAATAAATTTGCTTTGGTCTTTATGCAGCTCTCTGAGAACTGAGACCTGCTCCTGCTAAGAATGCAGTTGCTGCGAAGTGTCAGCTCGCTCTCTGGTGATTTAACGCCCAGATGCATATTTTGTCCCCACGATAAGCAGAAAAAGGAAAGACTTGAGCAGGGAGATTGGAATCTCTCCAGGGACTAGACTGGAAGAAGACAGGGAGCAGTCTGTACTCCACAGACTGTTCTGGAAGAGACTGCCAAGCAGGCGGGCTGCCAGGAACCTCAAGGCCTGGATATCCATTTCTCCTGAGGTAGCATGTAATAGCAGAGAGGGCTTGGAGGCTGGGGTCAGCGGGGAGTCAGCGGAAGAGTCCTTGCTTCTGAGGAAGCTGTGAGGAGGGAGGCGCTGACCACTTTAGATCTGACCTTTTCCTCTTCAGCCTGGTGAGGCAGCTCCCTCAGCCCCAGCCCGTGGCCCAGAACCCATTAAAGAAATGCTCCACCGCCAAGGGAGTGGAGACTCCGTCGGTCTCACCTTCGTGTCTCCTCACAGTCAGCACGCAGGCCCCCAGGATCCCAGGCACAAGATCCTGGAAACATGGAAAAGTTTGTAGGCTTCTGAGGAGGGATATTGTGGTTTCACATGCTGCCCTCCCATTCCCAGAACCACATACTTCTGCACGTAGTCACCCAAACAAGCTGCCATAATCCCTTAATAGCACGGAACAGTTTACAGCACTGGTAGACATTCTCTCACTTGGGCCCTTCTCCCCAGGACTCTGGGAGGTAAAGACTGTGGCTGTTATAACCTCCCGGCCTTGCTAATACGGGAAGTGAGACTCAGGGGGCGAGCCCTTTTTCGATATCCCACAGCCAGAAAGGGGAACTGGGTCTTAAACCTGACTGGTCCCTCTCTTTCCACTCCCACAGTGGGTTCCACACGGGGTGCTCATCCAAGCCCAGGGCCCTAAGAAGTGCTAGAGCTGGTGGGAGAAGTGGAAGGGGTGGAGGGTTGGCACTTGACTTTTTACTCCAGCCCATTAGTGTTTAACTCTTTTTTGTATGTTGATTTCACAAGCATATTTTCACTATTGAAAAAATTATACTTTAAACCTCCTTGTTTAACAGTTTTAGGAGAGTGTAGGCAAGAGGTTAGAAAACTTCTAAGGGTCTCGGTCCTTGCCACCTTCCACATGCGCACACAGATTTCTGCATAGCTACGATGGAGCTGGAGTGGGGTGCAGGGGGGAGAAGCCATCAGGGCCCCAGCAGCTGCAGGAATCCCTAACAGATGGGACAGTGGTTCTCACTCTGTGGTTACCAGCGTTACCTGAAAATTTGCAAGAAATGTAAATCCTCAAGCCTACCTACGCCAGGCAAGCTGCAGCAGAAACTCGGGGGTGGGGCCCAGACTCCTGTGGTTTACTGGCCCTCTACATAAGTCTAATGCATGCTAAGGGCCAAGGAGCCCTGGCTTAGGAAAGAGGCTACCAGGCATCTCCTGATATCTTGCTTAGCCTGCCAACCCCTAGTCCTGACTTACTAAGACCTCCCTTTCATATTGTTTCAGGCCAAAGTAAGCCTAAAGGATGATATGCCAATGCAAATACATAGTCGCACGTTAGAACTGTCCCCAGTCTTTTCTCTTTCCTTTGAGAGGTCCTGAGTTGGGAAAGGGGTGGGTCACCACTCCAAGAGAGAAAAGTCTTGGGGATAAATGAAAATGATTCATGCAAGTAGCCCTGCTGCATAGCCTCAGCGGGCCGGCTTCCCTGGCTCCTCATGTCCTGGGGGAGGTTGTGGTACCTGGTGGATGGCAACTCCCACTGTGTAATGGCATTTCACACAGCATGTATGAGCAAAAAGGCACCTATAGAGTAGGGTGAGTCAGAGCCCTCCCAGCAGTTAAGGGACTGGAGAGTTGCTGTGAGATGTCTATACAACAGTCAGTCAGTCAACAAATAGTTTTTGAGTATTATGTGACAGGCTCTGGGGAAGGGGGCCTGCCCTCCCAGTTTACAGTCTAGTGGAGGGAGGTGATAGATAGATAGATACAGAGATAGATAGACGCACAGACACACACATACTAAGCAAGCACACAGAAGTTAATTTCATATATAGAGAAAAATATTCCAAAGATAAAACAAGGAAGAAAATTAGAGAGTGACCTGGCCTTGGAAACTGCTACACATAGAGTATTCAAGGAAGGTCTTCCTAAGAAGGAAAAGTGTGAATGGAGACCCTGAGTATGAGAAGAAGCCAAACATGTAAAAACCTGGAAGGAACAAATGCCCAACAGAATGAACAAGTGCAGATGTCCTGAGCATAGGATGGATTTGTCGTGCTTACGAGCAGACAGACCCCCGTGGCTTCAGGGGCAGGGGAAGGGAAAGAGTATGGCGGGACATCAAATGAAGCCACGATAAGGAGTTTGGATCTTTCTCTGTTTGTAATGAAAGCTATTAGAAGATTGATTGACACATTCAATTACCATAACTTGCTTTGGTTTTTATTGTTCTTGTTCATCTATCTCTCAAGTCACTCTCTTTTTAAAAATAAGTTACAATTTACTTGTAAGGAAATACACAACTCATAAGGGTACGTACAGCTTGATGGGTTTTTAACTACACATACAATTGTGCACTCACCCCCCAGGGCATGGCTTAAGTTTTAAGGACTCTGCGTCTGCTCCGAGAATGGATGGGGCCAGGGCAGGCAACAGTGGCAGCAGGGGTACCAGTGCAGAGTCCATTGCCCTCACCTGGGAGATGTGATAAGGCTTAGAACAGCGTGGCAGCACTGGAGGTGGTGAGAAGTGGTTGGATTCGGTTGTATTTAGAAATAGAGGGGATAGGACACGTTGCTGCAGAGGATCTGGTTGTAAAAGAAAACAATAAAGGAGTCTTCCCAAGTTAGTGGTCTGGGTAACTCAGTATGTGGTGCCGTTTACCGAGACAGAGGAGGACTGCAGATATTTCCAGGGTATTAGGGATCAATAATTTTATAGGAAAGCCCTAATTTGTGTCTCAGAATTGTAAGGCAACCCGAAAGATCAAACTTATTACTTATAGCTGCCTGTGGAATATATGCATCTGCATGACCCAAGTTTTGCTCAGTTGTACATGTACAGCACGCAAGCACTCAAGTAGACACAGACAGACAAAACAAGTGGCCCATGTCAACTAACAGACCAAGCACTTTCCAACTTGGCTAACAATATAGACGGAAATCCTAACTAACTCCCTCTCTTCCCTGCCTTTTAGATTCTGATGTCAGAGCCAGGGAAGTTACTGCAGAAAGTGAAGGTCTGGCTGCAGGAGTACTGGAATGTCACGGACCTCATAGCCATCCTTCTGTTCTCTGTGGGGATGATCCTTCGTCTCCAAGACCAGCCCTTCAGGAGTGATGGCAGGGTCATCTATTGTGTGAACATCATTTACTGGTACATCCGTCTATTAGACATCTTCGGCGTGAACAAGTACTTGGGCCCTTATGTAATGATGATTGGAAAAATGGTAAGCAGGGTTCTCTGATGTCATGTGACAAGTTCTTAGAGGAGGAGTAGAAAAAATAGGAGGAGGGAGATCATTGGCTTGGGCTGGCCATCAAGGTCTAACTGAGAGGGCCCTGTTTTATTTTTTAATTCCTTTTGAATGTTCTGAAGCTTGACTACCTCTCTCTATATAACTGGACAATTAGCCATCCCTCATCCATTTTCTTACTAAAATATATATATAAAGATTATATACTTTGTGCCAAGCACCAGACTAGGAGTTGGGTATATAAAGGTGCTCATTCCATAGACTGAGGGTAAGAGAAAGAGAAATAATTATCATACAGCATGAGAGTGCAGTAATTGATGTGTATATAAAGTACCACAAAACACAGCAAAGAGAAAGTAGGTCAGGGAAGGTTTCACACAGAGGTTATATTTTTGCTGGATCTTGGAGAAGTCTCCACTCCAAATATTTAACAGATTTTTAACATGGCTTTTTTTTTAAATGAAGTGCTAGGAAAATGCCTTTCTCTACACAAAGGGGAAAAAACATAGTTTATTTGAATTCAGTTGTTAGGTTGTACTTGAATTAGTTTCTATCAATATATCATGCATTTTGTTACACTACGAGAAAAAGATGTCTGTTAAAAACTAGGTTCCAGAGTGATGCCCTACTTATCTTTTATTCTTTAAAAAGGAATCCCAAGTGGCAAACTAATATGCTTCCCCAACATGGCTGTGGACTTGTTCCAATGCTCCTTGTCGACAGACTTCCTCCACAAGGACCTAGCCCTAGGGGACAGCACTGGGATGGACTGGGGAGTGCCCAGCTGAATCGGCTCCCTCCCCGAACTCACGAGATGAAGGATCAGAGTCTGGGCTGTTCTTTTTGAATCAGTTCTTCCACTTTTATGAGTGTATCCACTACCTCATCTTTATCAGACATTTGTGGAAAAACCAAGTAATCCATCCTACAATGGCAAACACCTCTTATGGAAAAACCGCTTTGCTAATAACTTCTGTACCACTGCCCTTTGAAACCAATAATTTATCAGTAGATATTCTTCATTATTCCCCTTCAAGTTTTACTATGTATGTTATTGCTGCTTACCTTTCAGTCAACAAATCAGTATTTATTACTAGTGTGTGAGTGTGTGTTACTCTACTAAAATGAATCTTGAAGAACCATGACTCTGCCTACAAAAGCACTGACAAGTTTGTGCAAAGAGAGGGAGAACTTGAATCCAAAAGGATAGAATTATGGGACCCTTAGCCATTCATTTAACCTCTGAAACTCAATTTATTCATTTCTTAAGTAGTCCCAATACATGCATATCTTGTAAGGATGTTGTGATGATAAGAAATGACACGTCAAATAGCCAGTAGTGTCTGGCTTATAGTAGGTAGTTGATAAATTATATCTGTTATTATGTTTATATTATGTTTGCTAAAAGGCAGTGATAAGGGGAGAAATTGGTGAGCACAATTATCCTGCTCTATTCCTAATGCTTTTGGACAAAACCTTGCTATTTATAATGCCAGTATTATTTAGGGAAAATATCCCAAACCTATTCTAGAGAAGAAAAAGTTGAATTAAATAAGCTTGAGTTAGACTGAATTCCAAAACCAAATCCCAGTTCAAATGGGTTTAGGGAAAAAAATCATCTTACTCTCTTATACTGACTATAATACAGTCTTCTTTGGACTTTAATAATAAATTTGCAATTGTGGTGAAAATTCCTATCTCTAAAAGCAGGGAGTCTCAACTTAGAGTCTATGGAAGACATTTAAAATACAGGATCTGTGAACCCTCCAGCCAGGTTATACATAAAAATGTATGGGTATATGAATTTTCTGAACAGGGAGGAGAAGCTTCCATGAGATTCTCAAATGGATTCTTACATGGACCCAATGAAAGTGAAGAACTGTATTAGCTGCAAAATTAGACCAAGTTTTCTCAATCTTGACACTATTGGTATTTTGGACAAGAAAATTCATTGTTCTGGGTGGCTATCCTGTGCATTGTAGGATGCTTAGCAGCATCATCTACCCCCTGGATGCCAGTAGTATGCACACATACATACATACAAACACACACAAAATAAAAATATCTCCAGATATTGCCATATGTACCAGTGTGGGAGTAGGGGGTACAAAATTGCCCTGTGTTGAGAACCACTGCATTAGGTGATTACATAATCTGATTGGCTGTTTTATTCTAATGGATTGTTACCTTATTTTATTTCAATACATAAAACTTTAGAAGACCCATACGAACCAAATATATTATTTTTAGAAAGATTGGGTGGCATTTAAATAGTTGAAATTACTAAAGGCAAACTAAAGCAGTAAGATTATTTTAAAACCCACATCTATCATTTTAATGATGGCATAATTATTCCCAGTTTTTATTAGAATTAAACCTTACTATGCAGTGAGCAAGAGAGATGTACTGCATTTACTCTACCTTCTAACTTATGAATGACTTCACTTATCAGCCAAGGATTAGTTGAAAATGAGTATGTTTGGAGGCTTTGTTCTCACTGGGGTTGTTAAGATAATTAGTTCAATGACTGAGTCACTGATGCAGAAGGTAGGTAAAATATGCCTATAGAATTTATCAGGAAGCCAGATGGATTTCCAGGCTGGAAGCCCAACAAAATATGCCCAGATGTGATTGCACTCAAAGTCCCTCAACATTAGAAAGTCCCTGCTCAGTACTAAAAACTGCCAAATAAACTGTGCCCTGTAGTCTAGGGACACACAGCTGCTAAGATACCTGAATACAACACCAATCAAGTATGATTCCAATGGATCTTTAAATCCAGGGTACCACTTCTCAGCGACATTCTCTAAGCCTCTGCACAGCTCACTATATATTGCAGAATAAGAACAACAATAATAATAGCTATCGTTTATAATGTGCCAAACACCATGTCAGACAACATCATTACAACCCCACTAAATAGGTTTTAGTGTCTTCATTTAACAATAGAATAAAGTGAAACTGGGCAAGGGAGAAAAGCAGGATTCAAACTCCTGTCTATTTGACTCCACAGCCTGCCCTACTTCCAACCCCCATGGTAATAATATATTAACATTTGCTGAAAACTGCCCACATCAAGCATTTCATATTTTATCTCATTTAATCCTTACAAAGCAATATGCAATATTATTGTTGTTATTATTATTGCCATTTCAAAAATGAAAAAAAAACCCACAAGATTAAGACCACTTAGGTGTTTTTACTAATAGGGCCAAGGTGAAAAATCTCAGGTAGGGGACACCTGAGAGCACATAATTAACCACTACAGTGTATGTGCTCCTCTCTAAAACACAATGAAGAATTTTTGTAAGAATGAGACAGAATCAGGTCTCTTAATAATGAACCAGCTGGACAATTTAGCTTTAAAAGCATATGTAGCCAGCCCCAGTCCTCACTAATAATGTCCTATTTCTGTACTCCACTCTATCAGATTTTGGTATTCGAATGGAAGCAGATGTCTTTGAAATATATGGAATTGAGTGTTTGGGAAGAATGTTTCTTCTCCTTGATTGTTTTGACCCTTTGGACAAATGTCATAATCAATCTGAATGAAAACTGTCCTGAGAAATGAGAACAGTTGCTGTATTTACTGGCCGAGTTTTCTTGGGTCAGACTAGCCCCTGAATCTCCTGAGTACACACCTTCCTCTCCCCAACCACCTTTTAGTCTATCTAAATAAATATAACATGAAAATCCATTAGTGTTCCTTCATTGGTAGAACTTTTTGTAAATAAATAATGAAAGAATTTTACAAAATAAAAAAGAAAGCAGAAATGAGAAGCCAACCCATGTTTCCCATAAAACTGTTTCAACACAGCTGGCTTGCTCATCATGAGAGTTTGAGGCCACTAACTTGTGAAAGGAATAACTAATGAACCAGGGCATATATTTTAAAGACAGTAAAAAATATGAATTTAATGTCACATTTTGAGAGATTCTTATTTCATTTCAAAGTCATACGTTCCTTGAGAGATGGATTTTGAAGTTACTGCAAAAGTTAATAAACTGACCTAAACTGTACTGAGCCAGTATCCTAATGCAAACAGAAAGACTGAAATATTTAAATTCCAATAACAGGCACCTTGTCATGTATTTCCTTGAAAGTCTTTATTATCATTGATAAGACTATCAATGGTCTTTCTTTGCGGATGAACATTCCTTCAGGAAGTTTAGTATTCAAGAAATAGTCTTCTGTATTGTATGGTCTGATACAAAGGAGAGAAACAAATCTCCAACTAGTTTAAGCCCAGGAGGGATGCACTGATTTATAGCGGGGCATGATGCAACTGGCCTTAATGGCTACTGCAGCCAGGCTGTGAACCACTGTCAGGACATGCTCGCTCTCTCTCTCTCTCTCTCTCTCTCTCTCTCTCTCTCTCTCAAATATCTGCTTCATTCACTCTGATCAGTAGTGGGGCACCTAGCCTCAGACACTCTGAATTAACATCATTACAGAAAGACAAAGGGAGTATCTCTTTCCCAGCTTCAGTTGAAAAGTATCCAAAGAGAGGTCCTTGTTGGATTCTTACGTAACATGCTTACCTCCTATCACTGCTGTGGCCAGAGGGTGAGGTGCCATGATCACCCTAGCCAGGAAAAGACACCTACCTCTGTGTCCAAAATGGATGGGGATGGTTCATAAAAGTAGAAGGCAATGGGTTCTGGCCAGGTAAAATTATAGATATTACATCCACATCTATTTTTACTGATAAAAAGAAAGTAATCTGTCATAGAAGAAACAGATTCCAAATAACATGGGTCATGAAAACAAGCGAAAAAGAAAGAAGCACAGGAGAAGACGTTGTACTTGACTATGGTCAAGAGATTTTGTAAACATGTCTGGATAAAAATCCAACCTTTCAACAGCAGGCACAGGAGTGGGCTACCTGATTCTAATGCCTACAAGAGCAGACGCCCTTCATAACTGATAGGATATGCTGCAGGAGACGAAAGTGCAGAACAAGTGGCTCTCCGTGAGACTGGCTTGTTGTAGAACACCTCACAATGAGCAGGGCCACACGGGTGACATCACATGTGCTGGGTGTTGGTTGTCCGAGCTGTGTTTACAAATGATTATTTTCTTGAGCTTTCCACCTCCTCATTAGCTATTCAGAACTGAGAGAATTTATGGCATTGCAATACTTCTTGAAATAGTTCCACTAACCCAATTCCAATTTTGCTAAGAAAGAGACCCAAGAAGGGAATTTGCCTCCCCCAGGAACAGAATAAAAAGTTAGCACTAAATTTGTACAGATACCCAAACTCCAGTGTTTACAAAATTTCACTCCCAGGTATCATGTTGACAGGGCCCACAGACAACAATGGAAAGTGAAGGGGTTCCACTGGGCATATGTTTGAGGTTTTTTTAAATGATTGTTGAGTTACTGATAAGATTGCTTGGACGTTGGTTTCAAGAGACCAAGTGTCCTCTTATCAAGACACAGCTCCCTATCTAAACATCCGTCATGAGCATTATCAAACATGAACCTCCTTCAGAGGTTTCTATCAATGTCATTGTCATTGGGACACTCAATCATATGAGTTTTCTTTGTTTCTCCCTCTTCTTCCCCACCCTTCCAGATGATAGACATGATGTACTTTGTCATCATTATGCTGGTGGTGCTGATGAGTTTTGGGGTTGCCAGGCAAGCCATTCTCTTTCCCAATGAGGAGCCATCATGGAAATTGGCCAAGAACATCTTCTACATGCCCTATTGGATGATTTATGGGGAAGTGTTTGCAGACCAGATAGACCGTAAGCAAGTTTATGATTCTCATACACCAAAGTCAGGTATTTAACTTCAATTGGGTCGTGTCTTTTCCAAGTTCATTTGTTTGTTCTCAATAAATGGCTCAAGATAGAGGACCAATTCCTAGCTTGTTATCTTGAAGGAACAAAAAACAATTACAGAAAGTGAATAGGCAATTTCAATAGCAAAGCGGTCCTCCGATGTTTCCTCAGGTATGTCTTTCTGTGACATGAATCAACATCTGGTATGCCAAATTGGATCAAGAAACAAACCTTTAACAAGATTGAAGTTCTCTAGAGATTTAAACCCTTAGGGCCATGTGTTGACTATTTCAGTATTAGTAATATATTACATCACTATGCCCCACCCCTACCCCAGTCTGTAAAAAATAAATTCCTTGGGTTTGACTTCAGAACAAATAAACGATTCTCAATTTCACCATCAGAATTCAAGAGTGATGGCCAACATCTGCATGGTGTTTTCCTTGAGCTGGAAACTATTCTCCGGCTCCCTTTCCCACTGTCTTAAATTATGTGCTTTTGAGACTCAAAAGAAGCTAGTATTCATTGCCTGAAAGTATGGAAAATGCCCTAGGTTATAAACTGAGTTGCTTGCTGTAAATGCCAAAAATAAAATAGTATCTATATAATGAAGTGATTCAGTGTGGGGAGAGAGCAACAGCAGCAGCAAGCCCCTAATGTTTCAAGCCCTAATAGATACTGACTTTCTATAATAAACACTCTTGTTGTATAGAGTGTGAAGATAGTTGTATCCTAGGAATCGGCTCCAGAATTTTATTTGGACCAAATGTCAGGGCATACCAGGCACTGGGAAGTTGTTTGAGAAGAAAGCATCAGGAAAGGAATATCTTTCAGTGTGAAGGAGTTGAATCCCAAGAGCAACAATTTCTCATTTTCCCTGAGGACTTTAGCTCTAGAAATAACATCCCTCCAACCTTGTTGAATTAACATTTTTCAGACATTTTTTGCTGACAGGCCAGCCATCTAAGCCCTGGACTATGGACATGGATTAGAGTTACATAACCAGGTAGTAGAGCTTATTAAGAGCAGGAGCAGAGACTAGTCAGCCCCTTCTTCCATCCCCACCAGTCCCAGGTAGGACTGAGACCAGACAAGTAAGGACAGAGCACCGGACTGTGAGTCCCGCAGGCCTGGCAAGAGCATGTGTCCACTGGAAACAGCACACACCACTACGTCATGTTCCCTTCCACGGTGAATCTTGAACAAATATCCATTCCGTCCCAAATGAGTTATCTGAGGCAAGAAGGCTTTTTGGAACACCTAATTGGAACAAATACTCATTTCACAAGACTTAGCCAGTTCACCGAGGAAGAATTTTAACTCCCTCTCCCAGATGAGGTGTCTTCAGCTGACAATGCACAGCCTTCACCAAGACAGCTTTGCAGGGACCGGGGGAAGCTCTTTGGGAACTCTCCTCTCAAATGGTTCCTCGAGACAAAATGACACTTAAAATGCCTACCAACGATCATTCTCAGAAACCAAATGTACTATTTTCCCCCAAGAAATTGCTTTACCACTTACATTATTTTGCCTTTTCTAATTTTTCCCCCAAATGAGATTAAGCACCCATGGGTGTTTTAATGATGTAACATTTGGGTCGGAAGAAAGAGGAAGGTGTAGGTGTGTTTTATGAATGGGATTCTGTCTGTCCCTCTACAAGTGGCCATTTATTGATGTTGTACTATGAACCCAGCTTAGTGCAACAAACACCACCATCTGGCTGAATAAGAGGATCTATCATTGTTATTTTAAAAGAAGGGCTGATTGTAGTTTAGAACTCGAAAACCCCCTAGAGAAATAAGAGAGGTGTTTTGTGTGAGTGAAGTATGAAAACAGATTTCCCACATTGTTAACTAGGTCTGCGGTGCTCTATGTGTGTGAGAATAATGTTCTACCCCCGAGCCCAGTATGCAACTGACCCAGCCTTGGATGCCTCCTTCCTGACACCTTCCCCCAACCATTTCCTTTTGGATGTTCTGAAATTGGCTACAGTGGTAGCCACTGTTCTAAGCTAAATCAGCCAGTTTTCTGTCTAGAGTGCTAAAGAATATTTGTCCTTTCTCAAATGGGCATAGAAGGATGCCCCCAAATATGTCATCACATTTGGCCTAGACCATTGACTATTCTTATCCTCTAAATGTTTCGATTTTCACGCGATGGCACTGGGTGGGCCCAAGGGGGATTGGGTAACTGCCCCACCTGGTCATTCAGAACTGCCCGGGAGCCCCACGTACCAAGCTGTTTGAGAAAGGCACAAATCTTTATGCTGGCCTGCAGTGTCTTGCCTCTTTTCTGTGCCGTGGGCAGGCTGGTTTGTGAAGCATGTGTTCAGGCTGATGGGATCTCATATCCGCCTGGACCCACACCTGCCCGGGGTCGACCAAGCCCGTGCTGTGATGTGCCCCGTGGGCTGCTCCAAGTGCTGCTCATTCACACACACCGCAGAGCAACTCATTCCGACCGTAATGCACGCGCTCTGTCTTTTCGTTTTTAACTGCAAAATTGCTGAACCCATTTCATATTTGCACAAATAATCTTCCCTGATTGGGATGAATGTCTGTGGATATATGGGGCCCTAGGGTTGGGTTTTTAACATCTGTCTTACAACTCAGAAGGGGGGACAGCTCTAATGCCCTCACTTTGGGAGATAATAATACTGAACAACAAATTTTTTTTAATATACATTTTCTTTTTGTAATTTGTCCTAAACCCAGAGACTATCAGTAAGGCCAAAAAAGCTAGAATAAGACATAAGGTTACTTTCCAAATATATTTCCAGACTAAAAGAAAAAGAAAAAAAAAATAATGGAGTCACTGTATACTCACAAAATGACAGGTGTTTTTAACCTCTAAACCACAGTGAGTTAACACAAATGATAGTCTGGCTTTAATCTCAGGTAGGCACACAGGCCGAAGTATTTGCTCTGGTGATGGGAGCAGAAGTGAGCGCAGACACCTGATTGGAAGCAGCAGATAGTGAAACTGGGGCGGGGACAGCAGTGTCAGCTCTGCCTAGACACTGTGTCCAGCACCTGATGGACTCCTGGGAATTGAACTTGCTGTTGCTCATTGGTTGGTTGGTTTTCATTTTGTTTTGTTTTGTTTTTTTCAAATGGCTCGTAATTATCTCAGGTGCTTGTTATATAAAATACTAACTCTGCAAACCCCAACCCATGGGCCTCTCTGAGGTGACTTCAGGTTGCTCAATGCATTGTTACCAAATGATGAGATTCGTTTGGGCATCTCATTAAAGTGGGAGCTGCTCAGGATCCGACTGGAGCCTGAGGGGGAAAAAGCCACTCAGAGAAGAGAGCAGCAAAATAAATTTCCAGCACATTCATGCCAAGGCCGAGACAAAGCTAAAATTTGATGGCCTTTCACCAGCTGAGAAACCTGGTTCTGTTTTGGTGTGTGGGGTACCTGGAAGTATACCATTGTTGGCAGAAAAAATGGGGTGTCCCTGGCCTCCTTGAGCCTCTGAATGAATGAGACTACTCTTTATTTACAGGGTGCTCCTGTGTTGCCTGTGGTATGATTCCCTAGGCCATACCAGGACAAGGGGAAGATGAATCATGCTCTTGAATGCATTAAATCAGGGTCTAAATTTAGTCCTTCTTTCTGCCACTCTGAGTATTTTTACAAGTTTGGGTAGTAATGTGAAAGCACTACTTTCTACCACAACAACTTCATGTTATTTGGCTGTTTCCACTTGCACTAAACTAACTAGCCAATCTACATAATGCGTGGATCAGTTCTTTTCTTCTCTCTTGCTGCCTAGGGCTTTCCATCTGAAAAAAATAGGTAATCTGGAGTGAGGGGTTTTTTAGTTGTTTTGGTTTGGTTCTGCTCTACTTCATTAATTAGTACAAAACTTTTGCTATTAAAAAAAATCCTCACTCTGTTGTACCCTTCCTGTCTCTATGAGGTTGACTGGATTTAAAGTGTTGTTTTTGTTGAAAAATAAGGAGCGTGTATGAGCATATAAAGCTAAAACCCTCTCCTGCATTACTTTTCTGCCTCAAATTATGTTCCTCACTTCAGGTGTGGAAATTAGAATCACTCAAGGCCAATGTCTAAAATATGCCTGTGTGTGGTGAAACTTAGAACAGCACAAACAAAGAAGATGGCTATTGTTATGCACTTCAGTTGTGAAAACTCCAGGGCTCTGCATCTGTTTGGTATTCAGGACTGACCTTCTCTAAAGGATTCAGAGCACACTAATGCCTAACAGCTATTGAGTGGGGAGTGTTGCCTGGCCAGAGAAAGTATTTTGAAAGAGGAAAAACTTGAGACAGTGCCAACTTTTGGGAAAGGGGTGAATTGTTTTGCTGGGTTTTGTTTTCACAAATTGCTAAGGAAGCAAGCCAATGTGAGGCACCACCCCCATCTCTGTCCCTGAAAGTCAGTTTATATTCTAAGGAATACCTACCTAACTTGTTTACTAATGCAGATGAGGCTTAGTGGCTTCACAAATGGCAGAGCCATCTACAGACAGACCTTTGTGATGATTTTGTATGCCATTGTGATCAACATTTGTTTCACTATCATAATATTCATTTAGCCTTTGCTTACAGGTTGGCCTCCATTTTTAATTTGTTTATTCTTCATTCAATAGATATTTATTTTCTTCCTACTATGAGCTGGACCCAGAGATACAGAGATGAGCATGACAGAGATGCCATCTTCAAGGAGTTTACAGTCCAGGAGAGTCAACCCCATGTTGACAGTATTAGGTGTAGATGGAGCCCAAAAATGAAAGTATTCAGGACTCCTGGGGTGAGACTAGGGACATGATAGATGAAACCTTGCAAAGAATAAGAAGGTTGAGCTGAGCCCTGAAATATGAGCAGACATTTGCTAGGCAGAAAGGAGAAGAGGGGTAGGAAGGAGAACAATGGCATTTCAAACAGAAAGTTATCATGGCAAGTTCCAGGCACAGCAGATAGATAATTGAATATGGGTGA